TTACACAGCGTATGTAAACTTCTGGGTTTCAACAGTACATACTGAAGTGTATAAGCTGTACAATTCCTGTGTCCTTCTGTTTCAGTCGGCACACTGCTGACATAGACATCAAACACCGAACAGCCCATTCCCACTGAATAAAGAGATGAAAACAATGATTCAGAATACAGCTTTTATTGAACAAACTGCACATAAATACCCAACCAGTTAAACAGAACAATAATTCAAATAAGACATTATAATAAGAAGAGATTAAAGCGTAGTACCCCCTGCTCCCATTGAAGATATTTGTTGTAAATTTGATAATAACACATCTTGACATTTTGCTCACACCTCTCTCCTCCTCCTCCTCCTCCCCGCCACCATACAAGCTAACCTTGCGGCCACCGCCAAATTGACACTAATTAATGTGAGGGTGATCTGACGGCTAGGAGGAGCTTCATTTGATTGCCCAAATGGTGTGACTGCATGGCTGATCTAATACGGTCTCATCTGATAAGTCAAACGTTTGCATGCTTAATAGGAGTGCACGGCACGTATAAATAAAACTGTATTTCTTATTCATGACATTTCAGACAGTCTTATGCGATGAGCTTACTGTGCACGTCCACATTGTGAGGACAATGAAAAACAACTTATCAGTCAGCACTATGCTTTTATGTAGCTTCGACAGTAGGTCTGTTGCCGGTAGTGATACTGTACACTCTGAATCATGTCACAGCCATGTCTGGACTGCACTACTGGAAGGCTGGCTCGTGTTCTGTCAGCCTTCTCTAGGATGGGTAGTGTCCACCTGAGTACTTGTCAGAAGTCCTGTGATCTCCTTTAAAAACATTTTTTTCTCCCTCCTCCCCTTAAGGCCTCTTCACCATCCGTCATGCTCCAGTGACTGGTTAGGGGTGCTGGAGCAGATGGGGAGCAGTGAGTTTGAAGGCTGGAGAGGACTGGATGGCAGGCTCTGATAGCTGCGTGACATGCAGCATGATGTATGAAATTGACCCACCCCTTCAACCCAACAATATTCAAATTAGAGTCAGTAAAAAAAAAAAAAGCAATTATAGTAGAATTCCTTTCTTTTCTTTCTCTGCCTTTCTCATGTATGGGTACATTATTTTCACTGATCAGACCTTTTTGATATGAAGATTTTTTAGTTTTTCAGTTCTGTTTTATTCATAAGGCACCAAATTACAACATATGTCATCTGGGAATACTTAAACCAACTGTTCCCCCATTGAGCAAGCACTTGGGTTACTTGGATAGGGGTGAGAGGAGAGTAGCAAGACAAAAGAGAAGTGCTCACCAAATTATATAGCTTTAGCATATGGAACAGCATTAGCAAACACCAGGAAATAGAGTGCTGTTTGTGCTACACTCTCTTCTGTGTCATGTTCACTGAAGCCACAATGTGTTCACAGAGCTTATACAGCTTCTTTTTTCCATACCAATTCTTCCTCATCTCTACCTGTGGCTACTTTTGTTGCTCCAGCATCGGGTGGATCACAGCTGAGTCACATGGGTGTAAATTGCTTATTGCTTGCAAGCCAAGAGGGAGCGGGCCAGCTGCATCTGTGTGTTTCAACATAAACTTGTGAGCCAATGTTAACTGACAGCAGCTGGATTGTTTGTTAGTTTAAAATGCTTTGATTTGCTCTAGAAGTTACAGGCAAGTTGCATTGTCTTTTCTTATTATTTACTGCAGTGTGGAGTCCTACACCTCCATAGAAATAGAATAGCTGTGACTAGAAGTAGAACGAACTCAAAATCTATTTTGTGTGGTATAGAAAAGACAAAATGCCATAAATGTACCTTAAGTGTGGGTGTTGGCAGTACTGGCAAAAAAACAAAAAAAAACAATGGCTATACCTGTTATAGAGATTTTACTGCTTACATTGCTCTTTCTTTCCATACTTGTCTCCTATCTGCTCTGTGTAAACATAGCCAGCAGTTCAGCCCAAAACAGCCAAACAGTGCTTGAATTTTTGTCATGTGACTGTTGGTCATAGGTGAGTCATTCGTGACTTTTCGGTTATGCCGAGTAGTGTAGATTTTTTTTTCTGGTTTGGCAAGTTTTTAAATGAGACATCTAGAATAAAATTATCTTGATGAAATATTACAATTTTAAGCTTGGACTTGGTTGACTTTCCTGCCAGAACCAGAAGTCACGTGTGATGAGTTCACACAAAGATGTTTTATTCTTTTAGTTCTGATGTTATTTTTTGCACTTTTTCCAGATAGCCGGCTTTTCTTACACACTAGGGTTAAGCTGAAATGAAACAAATGATTTATTGCACATCTTGACATATATGTAAAACAAGGCCAGTTAGAAAGTCATAGCATATATTAATAAATGTATTTGATGAATTGTCCAGACCTACCTGTGAGTTTGTCAAACTGCATTGCATTTATGGCACATCAGTTATATTACAGACCTTTTATCTCTCAAACAGCCACTGCATCACCGAGGATTCTTGTGTTGTGCTTATATCAAGATTCAGATTCGCTTTATTGTCATTGCAACGAGTACAACGAAAAGTAAGGTGCAGGCCCTTCAGTGCAAAAAAATATAAAAACTTTGTAAACAACTATATACAACATGATATAACAGAAATATATACATGTACACACATATATATATATATATATGGGCTGCAAGGTGGCGCAGTTGGTTAGCACCGTTGCCTCGCAGCAAGAAGGTCGCCGGTTCGTGTCCCGGTGGGAGCACCGCGATCCTTCTGTGTGGAGTCTCCATGTTCTCCCCGTGCAGCGTGGGTTCTCTCCGGGTTCTCCGGCTTCCTCCCACAAGTCCAAAAATATGTTGAGGTTAATTGGTGATTCTAAATTGTCCGTAGGAGTGAATGTGAGTGTGCTTGGTTGTCTGTAAAAAGGTGAAATTAAATCATAAAAACAAGCACAGTGTATATTGCACAGAGTGGATGCTGGACAGAGGAAGTGACAGTTGCTTATTACCAATATATTGCACTTATTACAACAAAGAGGCATTTATGGCTCTGACAGCAGTTGGAAGGGAGCTTTTTCAGTCTATTAGTCCTGGTTCTGATGGCCCTGTACTGTCTGCCCGACGGCAGTAGCTCGAACAGGAAATGTCGCGGGCGGTAAGAGTCCTTCAGGATGATGTTGGATCTCCTGAGGCAGAAAGAGCCATGAAGGTCCTCCAGTGTGGGTAGAGGGCACCCACTGACCTTCAAGGCTGAAAACTAAAAACAGTTGTGTCTTTGACTTGATTTTTGCCATCATGCATCTTCATTATCTCTGCTTTAATCTCAGCCTTTGTCACATAATACATCATCATTCCAGCACTCCACAGGAGCTGGACAGTTTCTGGGACTCTTCCAGTTTGCCATGTGGTAAAGGGAGAATTGCAACAGAAGGTGAACCTTAATTGCTGTTATTTTGCCAGGACTCCTCCTGGCCTATATTTGATTATTTAGACCCATCTCAAGTTGTATAAGTGCAGCAGATTGTGGTGGTCCTTTACATGGACAAGTGGGATTTTTTCAGCATTAGTTTATTTGTGTAATAACTGGTGTTTAACCCATAGAAAAACACATTTAGCACAGCTCTAGACAAATAATTTCTGGTGAAATAGATAAATTGTTTCTTGAGAAAGGACGAACATGCAAATCAGTTAGGATGTTTTGAAGCAGCTTAAACGGATCCTTTAGATCCCAGCTGCCTGTTGACAGTATATATTGCCCAGGAGACAATTAGTCTCAGAATGGCACTCTGACCTAAATCTTACAAAGTAACTATGAGATGCCCTGGAGAAAAAAATGTCTGCTCATTGCTGCTGTATTGTAGATGAACTGAACTTGTTGCTGGCTGAACATGAAAGAAACTTTCATCACACGTTTTGCTGGTTGATTCCATAATTCCACACATTGTCAACCAGTTCTGCAAGCTGAAGGTTGGCAGACTGGTAGCTTTGCTCTTTAGCGATAAATATTCTTCATTCTTTATTTTGATCAGTATAAGCATTGTGATTGTACTGAACTTTATTTAAAATAAATGCCATTTGCGTTGTTATTGTGTAACCTAATGCAGTGACAGTCATGCATTTTTAAGCGTCCCTTAGGTGTCCAAATGTTTCTTGGGGCCACTGTATCTGCAGGCTGGAGCATTTGCATATACCTACTGACTGCATTTCTGTATCGCTTTGGCATTTGTTAAAACACACCCTTGTAGTCAAGAGAGAGCTGTGTATATCCCTATAGCAGAGGGAGGATTATCCTCAATACACAAGTTGAACCTAAGTTGAGTAGCAGATTTAGCTGAGTTCCTGTTCAAAGATGTGTGCCTTGCCACAGAAAGTCATAATTTATGCCACTGCAAACAGGAATCATTTATTCTGCATCACATCCTGCACAGGGAAGGGATACGTTTAGAAATGTCTGCACTTTTAAAGGGATTGTGAAATGATCCGTTGGAAGCCAAAGTTGTTTCTCAACACATAAAAAAACCCTCGCTATCGGCCTGCTAATGGTTACAGGTGAGCCGTGGGTGAAGTTACGCTGCGTCAGGAAGTGAAGTAATTTGACTTGATGTAAAACAGATGCAGTCTGCAAAATGGGGAACAAATAGGAAGTCAGCTGTGCAATGGCAGTGATGTTAAACAGCCATTTATGAATTAAAGCGACAGCAAGTCATAACTGATGGTGACAATTAAAGAGAGATGCTCACTAACTGAGAGCATTCAGGTGTCTCAAAAGACAAAGATCAGATGGTTAGAAACAGTCTCTACACTCACAAGCCTTGACACTTGGATACACACAGAGCTACCATGTATTCATGATGCACAGGAAATTCTGAGAAAGAGCTTTTTTCAGCTCATCGTTTTTAAACAAATAGAATCATTCAGTTTTGCTGTAGATGAGTTGACTTTCATTAACCATAACACATCTTTATGACTCTTCGATCACAAACCGTGTGACCCCACAGCATCGCGGTTTTCCATTCATTGACTGTTTTTCTTCTTTTCACAGATATCATTGACAAGAGTGAACTGAAGGCATTCTTTGAGAGCAACTGTTCTCAGATTTATTTTATCTTCTATGAAAATTTCATTACACTGGAAAGCAACTTAAAACAAAAAGGTGAGTGCAAGCTGTTTTTTTGTTGTTGTTGTTGTAAACTCCACACTCACTAGTTGACCGCTAGTCTAAGTGGTGGTTCAATGATTAACCCTCTCCCTGATCTCTGTGGCACACATTATGGCAAAGGTTATTTTGGCTCAACCCCCCATTTTCAGTACACTGAGCATGAGCCCTTAGAGAATACGTGTCTATAAATGTCCAATATAACTATGTGCATTGAGCCCGCCTGCAGCACTGGGGGGGTAGGGGAGTCATTCCCACCGGGAGTATGCTCTCTTGGTAACACAACTTTCTTTGAATAAGTGTTCACCAAACGGCCCATATTATTGTTAAATTATTCACGAGCCTAATGCAGTGTAGCTGCAGGTTATGTGTTTAAAACCCGACTGTAGTACTAAAAGTACTTTCTTTGTGTTTCAGGGAACAAATCTCAGAGGGAGGAGCTGGACTCTATCCTCTTTATTTTTGAAGTAAGTCATCTGTCATTTTCTGTGATGATGTATCTGATTTCCACTGATAGCTGCTGTAGCCTTAGCTTGTTTACTGCTGAACTCCGGGGTGGGATCCTAGTTTCCATGGTTGCCTGGCTGCTTCCTGGATTTGCCTTAAATAGCCTGGAAATCAGTGTGAGATTGTACAGATGAAAAAAAGAAGTCTTAGCTTAATAATTTCCTAGTCTTAGAGCAGCTCTCGTTTCTTGTTTTCGACACCCAGGTGTGTATGCAAATTGGAGACTGTCTGTGTACGCGACGTGCTGTTGGCTCCGTGGCCACTCCCTCTGTTTTTCTGAGCGCTTTTATGCTGCACATGAGCAGGTTAATGTCTCCTACCGTGTTTTCCCACCTGACTGCAAAGGCAGCTTGAGTTTCCAATACAAACAGTCGGCTCTCCGGTTACATTTGCTCAGGGCAGGGCTAGAAGGATGGCAGCAGATCAAAATGTGGGCCAGTCTGGTTGTCCCTTTTTTGTACAGTATGAATTGTCCTACTTTTTCTGGTCACCTGGGAGCAGTGTGAGAGTCTTCCTTGAATAATGTCCAGTACTCAGTAAGTCACTCCAGCAAAGAATGAACACTAGAGATACTATAACTTTGTACTCAGCCTCCCCTGGCCTGTTCATCAGTTTGTTAGCATCAAACCAGATACTGCTGTCTGTCTTCAGCTATGGATTCCTAATTTGCTAGTCAGGCATATCTAATGCAACCTGCACTCCAATTATTTTCCTGTTATCACATTACATTTTTGGCCCTGTCTGTGTGATGCATCATGCACTTAGTAATGGATTTCAGAGCACGCATTATGTGCATTATTCGTCTGCTGATGTTCATCCAGGCTAGCAATCTTTTGTACAATATTGGCTTTATTAATGAAGCCTGTGTCTGTGGCCCTCTCCTGCTGTTTGAATGTTAAGTTAGCTTCTAGTCAAAATGAAAAAATGCCATCAAGTTTAGTGTAGCTCATCTGTTTTAAAGGAAAGAAAACAAACTCGCTAGATTTCCATCTCGTTTTCTCAACTCTTGTGTAAGAAAGCCGCCCTGCCTGTCCGCACACATCCAGTCATCTGACCTGTAAATAAAGCCTGGATTCATGCCTTCTACATATTTATGGAGTCATCTTTTCAGAAAGAACTAATATTGAAGGCAGCTTAACCCTCATTTGTCCCCTTTTAGCCCCTGCCTGTGACAACGTGTGCTTTTACCCGTGCACTGAGAAGATAAGCTCGCTTTAAGTGGTGTGTACAGGACAGATACAGGGTGGCTTTGATCCTGGGCTCTGGGACACTGCGCAGACTTTCTCTTTACGCAATATTAGATTAGGTATGTTGGATCATACGTGGTCATCAGTGTGATATCAATGGATGCGTTTGTTCTCACAAACATGCACTACTCGTATTCACCATGTTTTCCCAGAGGTTGTATTATGTAATACAGGGGCATTAAAAGATAAACCAATAACAATATTTTAGGGCAAATGTATTGTGCAGCCTAATAAGCCAGAACAGTTATGCATGCTGTTGCTTAGGTTGAATTTAAATTTAAGCACACGTATCACAAATCTAGTTTCTGAATGCAGGATAATGCGTTCTGTAAATATGTATCATTAGTTTTAGTCACAGGAATCAACCAACCAAAGCATAAGCCTGAGCAGCCTTTGTCCGGCAAGCCTCAGAGCTGTGTGTGGAATAGCCTATAAATGGATAATGGCTGGGACAAAAGCCATTTTGCAGTGCGTTGCGACACACTTTAATGCTGTATGACAGGTTAAGGAGAACAACACAGCTCAACATCGCTGCCCCTGTTATTCTTTGTAGGAATTTTCCTGAAAAGCCACATTTATGTCCTCATCTCTCCGGGGAAATGAGAAACATGGTCCCTTGCACTCTTCTTCACCTGAATCCCTCTTTGCATTCAAATCTGTCTGACGTATACAGTACATGTCTCCGTGTGTGTTTGCTTTGAGCTAGCTACGTAGGGATTACTTCGCTGTCATGATGAGGTATGTGACCCCTTTTTCGTGGGTTGCTGTGGGGGGGGAGTATGATCTCCCATGCTGAGCCTGTTTGAGTAATGGATATCTGGAGGGGGTAATCTTTTGTCCCTCTCCCTAAACTCTGCTGATACACTCCACCCCCACCCCACCAGCAGCCATTGCCATCCCCTTCCAGGATTTCTTTGTGTCTGCTGCACAGAGGCATCCTACCATGGCAGCTGTTGATGCTGCACAAGAAGTGACAGATGAGAGACCTGATCTTTGTGAGAATGCAACAGCGCTGCTGGAGATACAGGATAGAAGAGTCCCCTCTTATCTCGTGCAGCACCTTTTGTTTTTAGATATCTGTACTGTAGGCTAAGGTTTGACACATAAAACCTACCAAAAATGTATTTGGTGCCATTTTTGTTGCATCAGTATTTACTCATTATCAATTAACTAGTATTATCACACAAAGCTCTATTTTGTTTTTAAAACCCTCTGGATTCTTGGCCAGTGGTTTCATTTTATGTAGATTTTCAGTACTGTAAGATAAGAGAAAGAATGTTTAGTTTTTGTCTGCTTTCGAAAATGCCACATATTAAATATAGTAAAAACGTAATGTGTAATTTTGGATGTATAACATTAGGTTTCACACAAAAAACTATCTACATTTGTATTTGGTTTCTTGCAGCCTGAAGCTTCAGGTAACAAACCAAAAAAAATCAACTGCCTGCTTTTCCAGTTATTCCACACTTGAGAGGGTTAAATTAAAAGTTCTCTCTCATTAATCCGAATCACTGCATTGCTTAAGCTTTCACTACGACACACCTAAATCATCATCTGCATCTGCACATAACAAATTCAGTTTAGAGGGCGTGTAATCAAGATGTGATTGTAAGTTAAACACACTTCTTCATGCAACTGCTTGTTTGTCAGTACCCTGGCAATAGCTACCTCACGCAGGAACATTCAAGCACAGAGGCAACAAGGGCACTAGGAAGAATCTGAGACACCTGACAAAGTTGTATGTGTTGCTTAAACTACTCATGCTGGTCATAGAAAGTATTAGAGTGAAAAGGCCAGTAGAGAGAAGGGCCACAATGATGCCTATGACCCCTAGGATCCTGTAGCTGACTCAAAGAACCGAACTAAATGAAGTTTCTGTGATCAGATGAGACTACATTTTGGAAATTACAGCTTAATAGCAATTATACTAAGTGCTACATTTAGTGTAATCCTAACATGACACATGAACAGAAACACTCCTTTCCTATCATGAATCAGCAGGATGGTGTTCGCATCACGCTGCAGAGGTGCTTTCCTTCTAAAGGCTCTGCAAAAATCCTTCAGAAAAAAATGGCTGTAATCTCCAAGAGATCTTAGAAGACCTTGGAAGAAGATTTATTTCACAGCAAGCAACACAATGACCCTTAAGCTAAAGCCCAAGCTTAGAAATAAAGATTTGCCGAACGTCCTGAGTTCAAATTTCAACCCAACTCAGAACTTCAGAACTGCAGTTGTCTCCTGTCCCTCATGCAGTTTGAGTGTGTACACTTTTTGCGGAAATGTGGGAAAAGTGCGAAATCCAAATATGCAGTGCGGCTAAAGACCAATCCACAACGACTCAGGCCAGTGTTACGCTTTTCTCGTACATGAGGGTCTGCGTGAATTTAATTGTCTCACCAGGCCTGCAAGAACCCAGTATTGATGTCCGAATGGTCTGGCTTCAACTCATTATCATTCGGCTAGAAAGGGGGAACAATCGCTCTTGCGCTCGTTTGTATTTCTGGATATTAATCGTAATCGTCTGGGGCAGAGTTAAGCCATGGCTAGAGCAACGGTTTCACAGGTTTTTCAGTGGAACATTTACACTCAAGCAATGTCATTAAAATGGCTAATTCATCAAAAGAACCAAGCACATAGATAGTGGAATCCATAGATCTGATTTCCTGTTAATGTATATAATCAAGTCTTCCAAGCAGATTCCTGCGGTCTACAAAAGTAGCATGAAATAGCAACATGCATGTTCATGAGTCTCCACAGCTGTCAGTGTGCATGTCCACGAAGGAGTATAGTCAGAGGTTCAGGGATTACAGTTGCTGAACCAACTTAATATTTGACTGTAATGGAGTGGAATACTCTGATACATTGATTTCCTAATTGTTGGCATATTTATAGATGTGTTTTCATAATGACATAAACCTTCCTGATGATTAATAGCAAAGGAGTCTAAGAGAGCTTGTCTAATTTAATGCTTTCTGATTTATTTACAGAAAGTCCAATGGGAGTATGTCTGTTTTTATAGGCACGATCATAGAGAGAGTTGTTTTCCATGGGATTTTTTTTTTTTTTTTAATTATTTTGCAAGTGTTCACATGTTTACAAAGAATTTTAGATCGTCGTTACTTGGTGTTGATTGTAGGTGTTTGATGCAGTATCCTTTTCAGTTGGAGTAATTTCTGTCTCCTTTTGACAGCCACTTCTATATTATGTTGTAGTCGAGATACATTCTCTCTAATCTCCTCTTATGTCTGCTCTCGCTGCGCTGCGAGTACGTCTAGAGCATAACAAGAAAGGTAGTGAAAATCTGTTGTAGACAAACACTAATTACACAACAAGTGTGAGTCAATTTTTTTTAGTTGACTGTTTTTGCTTGCACAAGCTCAGAATGAGCCTCTCAGGCCTTCAGGGATCCCAGTTTGTTTATGCTCCCATATGACCGTAGATGACCTCTCTCTGTCTGAAAGCAGTTCGATCCCGGTGCCAGTGAGGTTGTGGGACAGGTTAAGGGACAGCCCTGGGACCAACAAAACTCAGAGGAAGGTCTGTGCATGTCCCTTTTCTTTGCAGGATGTGACCTCACCATGACCTATCGTCTGTCAGCCGGACCTGACTCAGCATTCTGAATATCCCCTTGTCATCGTCTCTGTAAACCCCCTAATGTGTATTTGAGACTTGACTTACTGAGCTTCCTTATATGGGTAAATCTGCCATTTTGAATCTGCCCTTTTGATTGTTTTTTTATATACTTTATTAATGGATAACTGACTGAGGGTAGTGCAGCACCTGGAGGGTTATGTTTTTAAGAGTCGCTTTAAAAACTGCTGCATGTCAGGAGCTTCTGCCTGATTCACCTTTAACCTTTAACCAGGGTTGAGATCTGACAGTTGTCCCAGTACTGGCCGATATAGCAGCACAGTTATCTGACAGAAAAGCAAAACAGGGCCAGTGAGCAGAGGAAAGGGGGGAGACTTTTAAAAGGAAGATCATGCAAGTTCGACTGGGACTTGTTGTTCTTAACCTGCCATAGCTCATGGGAAACGTACAATTGATTGTGACTTATTACCACTTAGATGCCACGCCACAAAGCAACCTTTAAGCACTGTCTGCCATTTGTCATTCTATAATTACTCACACAGTGTAACCTTGTATAATGAGGCAGCTATCGACTATCCTGTTCCTGCTCTTTAGAGTAACTAAAACGTTCCTCGGAGCATTGGCTAACCTGTCTGAGAAATTTACCCAGAGCCATTTATTTTCCTCTTTATGCGTCCCTGATCACACTTTACCAGCAGGGAAATATTGGTTAATGCTTAAATGCAAATGTACTAAGTGGAGCTTGGGCCTGTACATGGAGCTGGTTGAGCAGAATAATCGTAACACCTTGAGTTCATGAGTTTTTTTGTACATGTCACTGATAGAAAACCTTTTTTTTTTTTTTTTACTTAAGCAAGAGCTTTGTTCTGTCAAGTTTTGATGGATTCATTTATTTAAAAGTTACGACTTTAAAAAGAATTTGCATTAACATTAGCTCTCTTCCTTCATGTAAATTTCCTTATGCCTGCCCGTGAAAAGAATATCAACATGAGGAAGCATGCTGCAACTTGGCTTTCACACACACCAAAGAGGAACCTGAAGCTGAAGGCTGAGCTAACTGGCACTGAGAGGCCAAGAGGAGTCTGATCGCACTCTGCTGCTGCCATCCACTGGCCACAGAGGAGAATGAACACGTTCACAAAACACAACACAGTACTGCTGTTGGTGCTTGAGGGTATTTTGGTGAATAACTGCAACGTAGGAGTCAGTGTCTCTGGGCTTAAGGTATATTTACTTTATGTTCCCAGGGCTATGTGCTACTAGCATTAATTTACTAAGGTCTATGTCCAAAACCAATGAGGGCAAGTAAAGAAATTTAGTCAGCATGTAAAGAAGCATTCTTGCTTGGTCCACACTGTTGGGCCTTTATGTGTTTTAGGCATCTGAATATGTGTAATTTAAACATTTTCTCACGCTGTACTGTAGACTAACTAAGAATTGTAGAATCTGGATCTCATACAAGCATTGTATTTACCACTTTTTTATTGTATTTGTTACAATATTTCCTGTGTTTTACAGTCTAAGCTTTGATTTGCTTCGTAATGGGATCGACACACTCGTCGTTTTCTGATTACTTGCATATACACGTCTGTGTGGGTTTGTGCTTCGGCGTTATCTTAGTGAGTTGTGTCTCCAGTGCTTTTGTGACTTGGGAGATTTCATCTTCCTTAGATGGCATCATCATCTCCAAGTTGTGAAAAAATCCTAAGCAATATGTAAATGACTTTCTTCTGAGAGTACTGCATGTCTATCGCCGCCATCAAAAAGCCCTTGTAGACCACCTCTGGGAGCAGTGTATTCTGTGTCATGTTCAGACTCTGCCGCTGGAAACCTAAGTGCGGATCATGTAAATGTGTTAAGACTGCAGTTGTACCACAATAATGCCCCTATCTTTATGCTGGAGTATGGCTACAGATTAGAGTAACTCCACCAACCTCCAGTCCGGCAGATTTTGCATTCGCCTCATATCTGCCAGTAAATTCCTCATTGTTGCGGCTGCCATTCCAGCTCCACAGGGAGTTTTTTTCTGAGCTAGCTTCTCCATCTCATTCCCACTCTCCCTTCCTGGTGCTCTGTGAGGAGAGAGAATGACGATGGCATTGTGTCTGCACGCGCACGTAACCGCGCACACACACAGAACGGCTTAAGCAGGCTACCCTGCTGTGTTACTGCCTAGCATAATGTCTCTGCTGGCCCAAGGAGACCGAGTGAAGGAAGCCAGTGCAGAGCCTGTGCGGAGACGTAATAATCCCATGTGGGATCAATACCAAGGTGCAGCCACACGCTTGTACACGAATACCATCACGTCTGCGGATCAAAGAGAAGTTGAACAGCACAGATAGTCATCCAGCGCCCCCTTAAAGTGATGTATGCCTTTCAATATCGCCGCTGTCACTGATAATGACAGGGATTTAGTCTCAGAGGACAAGAAGGGAAAGTTAAAGATGGAGGATGATAAGGGAAGAAGGAAGTTGTTGACAAACCGAGACACTCAAATGATGAGATGACTTCTGGGCCACCACAGCTCTCAGCATAATGTGACAAAGCAGAGGGTAATATAATGATATCATGTCACCTTTCAGAGCAGTTTTATTGATCATATGAACACTTTACTGTATAGCATAATCATTAGGTTGTCGAAAATAATAAAAAACAAACAAAAAGGAATACAAAAAATTATTAGGTCTACCATTTTTACAATTTCTTTTTTAATATCCACCTCACACTTGTAATAATTTAAATGTCAGGTTTCATCTATTTGAATAATTTAGTCTACATAAGCTACATTGTTATGTCAAATAGAAAAAAAAATCTCGATATTCTAAAAGTAAAATGAAGTCTTTCTTTCAACCTCCGTCGTCTTTCTTTTTGTCTTTTTCCTTCACAGATGCAGCTGCAGCGCTTTGCATCTGTGGCTGGAGAGGACTTAATCTTAGTAGTTCTGTCATGCTCTGGATCCTTCTCTCGCCTGTGTTTCTCACCCTCCAGGGCAGATGAGCTTTTTATCATGCCGACCAGAGTTGGTTGGCTGGTGGAGTGGGTCAGAGCTGCATACGTAAAGCAGTAAAGGACAGGCTTGACCTCTACATTGCAATCATGAAATCTTACTGGGTCAGTGATTAGGATTTGATGAGAAGTGAGCCATTGGGGCATCAGTTGCTCAAAGTGAACTGACTATTAACGAGCCGTGCGTGCACAGGCGCACACATCTGCTGTCATCCTGCCTTTTTTTTTTCATCTCTCCGGAGGGACCCAGTTAACCTGTCGCTGCATTCGAGAATAATGATAGGCTGCTGAAAGGTTAGAGCGCACTAATTGAGTTGTAAAGCGGTTGTTGGTGAGGTGATGAGTGCCGTCCTGTGTCACAGGATTCTGCAGACATGCTGGGTGAAGTGGAGGGAAAGGGCAACGAGGTGCATTCCTTTAAATATATACTGCTTTGGTCAAGCGGGGCCACTTACCAAGGCAAAGTCAGCTGTTGTTTCCTCCCCTTTATTTTATTCTAGGATCATCTAAAGAAAAATATTTAGCCTTGTGCAACCCTTACTCATTCCTGGAAGCTACCACCTGATACTTTAACAAACCTAACTATAACTTTGTATGTTTTTCTTTTTTAACAGAAAATTCTACAGCATCTGCCGGAGAAAATCTACAACCGATGGCAGTTTCACAGTATAGGTATGTACTTGTAGCATGTTCCATTATGTGAAATGCTTTGCACAACCGCTGCTAGCCATTGTCTCTTTGTAACACCTGATGGGAAGTTATACACTGAGTATTTGTCTCTCTTCGTTGAGCTTCTGTAACCTCTGAGATACACTTTAGGACAAAAAATGTCACCACAACCATGCCTAAGCCTTCCATAATGAAGAGAAAATAATTAGTCTTAGAAGGGGATGTAAATGGGAAATGCAAATGAGCACTTCATTTGAAATGCAAATAAGTAATTGAATTATGCTTGCATGATTTCAGTCCTGCACAAAAAAAAAAGAAAAGAAAGAAAAACCCTTGCAAGAAGCGATAACCCCAATTATGGCTGTTGTTTCTCAGCCTCTGGCAGCTAAACAGTCTAGGTCTAGATCACTCCTGCAGATTTGCCTCTCCCTCAGGCTGGTAATTTCAAATATCAAGACTCATCTCTGGGTGGATGCCCCAGACAAATTCACCATTTTGTCTGTCACTGGACAACAAATCATCTGAGGTTTCGAGCTGCCTCTTAGCCTTTCCTGCACTCACATAGAATTTTCTTTTCCACTCGTCGGTTTAGGTGTCACTGGTCAAGATGCAGCGCTGTTATTTATGTACTTCAGTCAAGATAACTTTTTCTTTCACATAGTTTTTTATCACATTTTACATCCACTACCATTACTGATAGAAATTCAGTGCTTTGTGACAAATTCCTTGTCAAGGATGAAGCAGGTCAGGAATAACATAAATAACTTGTTTGTTTTGTCCTTTTAGTTGAGGATTGCAAGGTCGCCGACATTTCACACAGACCATTAAGATACTAAAGAAAATCCCTGACACCTTTTATCATCCTTCTATCTCGAGCCCATAACCTGTTAAAGGATTCCTTTACACTTTATGTGTCCATCATCCCGATGAGAGCGCCACACAAACGCGATCATAAACTCACAGGCTCACATGCAAACACGCCAGCTTTGCTATACTTCACTCAGTTAAGGGCCTTTTTGATTAAGACTTAAACACATCTGTGGAGTAGCTTGCCTTTTAACCTAACGTAACCCTGTTTTTAACCCGAATGCAAAACTTAAAATTGCTATTAGGACCAGTTAAAATGTCTTCCAGCCCGCAGTGTCCTCACAAGAACAGCGCTGCCTGCAGCCTGTCAAGAGCTTGTCCTAACTCACACACACACACAGACCTCTTCCGCCCAAGGTATTTAGCAATCAGAGTAATGTCTCATTTGATTACAGTGGAACCAGATTGCCTTCATGAATGCATGTCGCTACCAACTGATGTTAATTTTCATCAGGGAAATGTGAAGCCTTGCCACTCTACCCACTAGTTAGTCAGGACCACCCATCAAGGTCAATTTGTCTCAGTGGAGATGACAGCTTTGTGCTGTTTGCTGTGTCTTTCTGTCGAATATTTGGATTGTAAAAGTTCTTGACAATTTCACTTTTTTTCCCCCCTTTCTCTAGGTTCTATCCTGAAAAAGCTTCTACACACTGGAAATTCCTTCAAGGTGAGCGCTGTGATGCACTGTGACACTGTTATGAATGTTAATATAGAGCCTTAAATAAGTATTTTACATGTTTGCATACAAATTCAAAGAGTAAAATTCACTTCTTTTCTGTACACATTAATAAGACCCATTCTCCTGCTGTCTAGATCCGCTGTGAGGGGATCCGTCTCTTCCTGCTGTGGCTGCAGGCCCTTAGGGACAACTGTGCCGAGGAGCAGTTCCTTATCTTTGCCTGTCTGGTGCCAGGATTCCCTGCTGTGCCCTCCTCCAGAGGACCCTGCACCCTTGACACCATCATTTACAACCCCTTCTCCAACCCCCCCGATGGTGAGACAAGGCAGACGCGTATGACTATGCATGCTTCTGTGGTATATGCACATTTGTAAGGACATAGCTTTTGTGGTATGTGCACAGCCTTATATAATAGGAGCGGTAGTCTAAAAAGCTGATGTCATATCGGGGTAACTTTGATCTACTGTGTCTGTCAATCCGAGCAGCCAAGGTGGTGCCTGAGGAGATTACCCCACTGGTTCCAGCTGTAGTGGGAGAGAAAACTGCAGATGACCCCACCTGTTACATCCTCGAAACACTGCTCAAGTACATGGTCATCCAGGTAATAACTAGCTTTGCAGGTAAAAGACAGCACAGGTTATTGTAACTTAATCTCAAATTTGGACTGATTCCCTTGTTGGATTGTCACAGTAGGACAGGATATTTTGTCTGGCAGAGAGTCAACTGAGATTGTAGATACATCTCTGTTGGTCACAATTAGAAACAGTAGAACTCAATCGAAATGATTCTGTAGGGCCACCGCCATAGCTCACCTGGTTGAGCTGGCGATAGTTCCCCAATGCAGCGGCCATGGGTTCGAATCCCGCTCATGGCCCTTTGCTGCAAGTCCTCTCCCCCATTCTTCTCCCCTACTTTCCTGTCTCTCTCGACTGTCCTATACAAAAAAGGCCAAAAAAATAACTTTGAATAAATATTCTATATATTGAGGTTTTCTGTCACATGCTAACATTTTCATAAACCTGCATAACAGACTTTATTGTACTTTATAAGCTGCCATGAGAACATGCCATTAGCAATGTATTTTAGAGTATGTTGGATCTTTGTTTTTATTCTTAACTAGCTATGTTGGAACTGGTGAACATTGCAAATCTAAGTAGGCACTTAAAACCTAAACTGTGCTCCGGTTACACAGCGTATTTGGTTTTGATGCTCAGCTCGTTGGTGAATGACAAGTTGTACAACAATAAGACAGCAACTAAATTCAGTATCATTTGTTAAATCTGTTAAGTTGTTAATCTTATGTGTACCTAGGCTAAACCATTTTACCACTGTAAACTGTTTCTTATCTTAGAGGAACCTTCACACTATTGTGTTGCAAACAATACACTGTCACTGTGTGAGTGATGCTGGAACCATCTCCTCTCCCTGTAGCCTGACCTTGTCTGCCTTTGTGCTGTCTGTCTGCCAGGCATCCAGTTTAGAATGGAAGAATAAAGAGAACCAGGACACAGGCTTCAGGTTTCTCTTCAGCCTGTTCAAGAAGTACTACCTTCCACATCTATTCCCCTCCTTCACCAAGCTAACAAACCTTTACAAGCCTTTATTAGGTAAGTTGGTGTACAGAATACAGTGTGTATATGTTTGCCTTTGTGTTGAAGCCTTTTCAAAGGGAATGCTGTCTTATTGCAATGATACACACACTGGACATAAACTCTTTTTTAATTATAAAAGCTCAGTTTGTAATCTCTAGGACTGTACAACATTCAGAATTTTGTCACGCAAATCAGATTGAGCCATTCAATACAACAGTTTGACTATTTGTTCCCTTTTTTTTTTTAATATAGACTACCTGGCAATCAGGAAATCTATTGCAGTGACTTTCAGTGATGGGTTTGAACACATTAACAGTCATGGAAATCTTACAAAGATATTTTTAGGCATTTAAAAGTACATGAAAACATCTGTGTATGTTGTAAAATTTTATGTGCAGTCACTTTGAACTGCTGACATATAATGTCGGGTTACTGTATGGATTTGTTGGAATATTAGGACTCACAGCAGACCTGTATCTCTGTTGAAATCAAGCTCTTATTACCATGTTTGTTTGTTGTTTAAATTTCACTTCAAACATAAAAAAGTAAATGAAGCAACAGATGAAACGGTTTAAAATGATTTCACACACTAAGAAATAAGTGACATGAACCCCTTTGAAGCGGTTTGCTTTATTTGATGTCGATGAAAGAAGAACAAACTCTTGCATTCAGAGTTTGAATTCCACTTTGTGATGGTTGTCAGGGCTGACCTGGTTCTAGCCTAGTTTACCAACCACTCATACTCAGGTCTTAGCCTCTGTCATCAGTTAGCCAGAATATTTATGATTTCCCTTATTTATAATTTATTTTATTTTAGCTTTTTTTCAAAATAATTTTGGATTATTACACATAAAGTCAACCCAATATGAAAAAAAGGTTTCCACCTGATCCCCTCAGAATCAGCAGTTTATGTACAATAACTTCAATGTCTTTATTAAAGAACTGCTAAACTTTATTTTTATAAAATGAATGCTTTTCGACTTACAGGCCCTTTAGGTAAATAGGAGTGTATCAAAATGTACTGCTTTTTAATCTGTGTTACTTTATCCAGCATTATTGAGTCCCCATTACTTTATATGTACAGGAGATAGCAACACAAGCATTCATATTTTGGATGTGTTTCCTGTTTTCTAAAAATTATAAACTTTTAAATGTGCATATTACTATGACTATATTACTATATAATTTTCAGGGGTCACCAGTTGGGATAGGCAGTTGGTCAAAACAACTTATAGCATATGAAAGTTCAGATTTTAACCTACATTTAAATACGAGGCTCATCTTGCAGTCTTGTTTCCTTCTGTGATAAAATTGTTTTGCTATTAAATCTATGATATATGCCATGATAAATTCTACTCATAGCTGGTTGTAGACAAAATCTTGGTGAACCTAAACAAGATTTTTGCTGTAGATTGTATCACCTAGAGTGGACATTAAATTGACTGGGCTGCAGTTTATAAACAAGCTTGAATGTATTTTTTAGACCTAAAAATGTGATGTGCTAAAACCTTTACGTATTAAGTTATGAGGATTAAAATGAAAAAGCACATTATGTCAGCCCACCCCTATGTACTGAAGGTAGAATTTTGCATGGCTTTGTTCAACATACTGCAGTATTATTTACTTCTGCAGGCTCTCATACGTTACTTCTTTAAACAGCAGCGCACAAGGTCCCTCAGAGATTAAATGACGAATTCATTGAAAATCAAATAATGGAACTAATGTCAGAGAGCTTTAAATTTTACTACTATTACCAAAGTACTTCTTTAAGTTTTAAAACCCTTAATTAAGCCTTGTCTGACTTTGCTCATCCTATAATTATAATTATAGGGTTTTTCTGAAGCACTTGATAATTTATTCACTTGTGTGTTGCTGTGACATGAAATTCCAACAGTGTCTAAAGGAGAAAGTGAACCAAGTAGACTGTATGAATTGGGGTACAATAACATCAGAGTTTATGATTAAATTAGCAATTTATGATTCAGCAGATCAAACTCCCATCAAACCCTGCATGTGTAGTTGATGTTTAACATCAATCTGTCTTTGTGTTTCTCTTCTGTTCTCTTCCTTTTGTTTCTTTCCAATGTTTTGTCACCGTCCTCGGCTCTTCATCCCTGTCCTACTCGATCAGACCTCCCCCACCACCGACCAAAACCCTTGTATGTGCCAGTGACGCGGAACAATGAGAGCACCTTCTGCACTAGGGACCAGTACCTGGCACCCCGTGTGGCCTTCATCACCTGGCTTGTCACCTTCTTCCTGGAGAAGAAGTATGTCAGTAGTTCTGCTGCGGCGCAGAGCGCCAAGAACGGCACCGAGGTCATTCCCAAACTCATCCAGGTGAACATGACACAGCCCTTGTATTGATTTCTCATTCTATCAGTTGAAATGGAGGCATTTTTATAACAACATCCCTGGTCACTTATACCTGTGTAATGCCACTTTGAATGGATGTTTCTGAAAAAATATTCACATATTTTATTCATGCATGTGTCTTGGTATTTCCACTCTATTGAAATCAGTTAGGTTATGCCAAGTCATAGAAAACCCCTCTCTAAGAAATGCTGTGTAGTTCAGCAGCACCACAAACATCAACAACATCTTTACGTGATCATGCAGTTGAATCAACACAAGATCGTCACGAAGGCTCTGAGGAGTTTGTGCTACACTGTTGTATTGGACTGCATTATTTTCAGCTGGTATCTAATAAACTGGCAGCTGATTGATGTAGTGCTGTACTTTATTTGTTTAAGGTTTTTTTGGAGGCATTTGGCAGTAAATGAAGTTACTCAAATCATAGCACAAGACAAAAACACAATGAAAATCCTCATGACTACACAGAAATTCATTTTGCAAATCTAACTAATAAATTAGCTCACCCCCCATTAAAATGCCAATAAAACTAACCAGATAAAGAATTTTTAGCAAAGGAGACTCTATTGACCAGTTATTTAACTGAGAGGAAGCCTCCCTGTGGCATACGAAGGGATTCTCATTCCCCACTGATTCTGTCTCCCTGTGATGGCCAGACTGTCACTGCAGGCAGTAGCAGCCAGGAGAAGGAGAAGGATAAAGCTTCAGATGGGGATACAAACGGGCCAGTGGGGGAGCCTGAGAAGAGCCACTCCAACAGCAGCACGCTGTCAGATCGACGGCCCAGCGACTCCAGTTTGTGTAGCATTGAGGAGGAGCACCGTCATGTCTATGACATGGTGCATTCCATTCTGATGTCCACCAGGGACAACGTCAACTTTGTCAACGAGGTCTTCCACCAGGTACAGTGAGGTCACCAAGCAGTATTATGTCTTTGATGCTGCAAAAGTTAATTATATAGCAGGTAGTGCTTATTTTTCATATTGGAACATGACTCTCAGTACAGACTGGATGGCTACACTGCAATACCGTGTACTGTGTCGCCCTCTGGTGGCTGTTTTATTGACATGAGTTGAATATCCTTCCTCTTAACAAGCTTGCCTGTAAAACTATTAAAAACCCCAAATTAGTTTTATCATAAATGTCCATACTTTTCCTCCCAAGGCTTTCCTGTTGCCATCTTGTGAGGCTTCAGCAACCAGGAAGGTGATCAAAGTATACAGAAAATGGATCCTGCAGGACAAACCCAGCTTCATGACAGAGCCCGACAAAACGGCCCAGGAAGATGAAGCGGATGACAACTCTGGGCAGATACTCAGCACAGAGACAAACAGCATACATGCACAAGTAAATACTATAGACAGATACAGGCGGCTTATGAATTTTCATTTTCCTATCATATATATACAAATTATGTGTTGTTTATTATATTATAAATAGATCAAAAAAGAATTGATAGTGTAGTAAAGACTATCCTTCTATGCACTTGTCTTCAAATGCATGTTTTGTGAGCACCTATGGAAAAATTATACAATTATACAATGGCACATTTCTGGTATAGAGAAGTAGAGTTAAGATTAAGTTGTTTAGTTGTGGTTTTGTCACAGCTCGTTATACGTTTTCACTTATTTCTCACAATTTATCTCATATGTCAGAATACCATGTTTTTGTGAACAAATATGAGGGATTTTTTTCTAGCATGGATACAGAATGTTTCTTAGCATCTTGCTCATGTCTACTGAACAACTGACTGGCCTGCCTTGCCCTCTACTAGACGTTGGAGAGTCATGGTCACAGACGGTCGTCCAGCTGGGGGAGGACCTACTCGTTCAGCAGTGCCATCAGTCGGGGCTTTCTCACTGAGGAGCAGAACAGGGACGTCAAGGCTGGCATCCAGCCCACACTACAGGTCCGTGTCTATGTTCAGACGTGTGTATCTATCCAGAGATCATACCATGTAGGGATTAAAATCAGATATTCCTAAATGTATGCGCTTTGTTTATTATTACTGTTTAATTACTTTGTTTGTGACTTTGTGTGCCCACCCTTAATGTGTCGTCATGCGGCCTTTGTGTGTAGGTGTTCCTGACAAACTCATCCAATGTGTTCCTGTTGGAGCCATGCCAGGATGTACCTAAACTCCTGGATAATCAGGTTGAAGTGTGCAAGGGTGTTCTCAGCATATACCGGCACATGATCATGGAGCACACCATGAACACACAGACGTGGTCAGTGTTTTCTTGTTGTGATTTTGACAGACTTTTATGGGGCTTTTCAGTTGTTCCTTCATGATAATCAAATCTAATCTTTTTGTTTGGGGTTCACACTGTTTTTTGTTTTTTTACTTTATGTTTTGCAGGGAGCAGATGCTGCAGGTACTACTGAGAATCACAGAGGCAGTGATGAAGAGGCCACAGGAAAACCAAAGAAAAGACAACTTTGCTGACAGTTTAGCATCTCTACTATTTAGGGTATGCCTCCATGTGCTTTTTTCTACATTAACTGATGCACAAGTCATATCGTGGATATGTGATCATCCCTACTCTTAGTACTTTTTACCTGGAGAACACTGACATTTTAGAATATTGAATGTATGGACCTGCAGTTCTACAGAGTTTCCTTTAAGAGCAACTAAGAAAATTTGCTGCTCAGGAACCAGCTGTATATTTATTGTGAGCATCTCACTCGGAGTAATCTGTTGTGAAAAAGGCAAGGAGACAATACACCAAATTAGATGTGTGGGGGTGAAATTCATGTTGCCACATCTTATCAGGGGCTGGAATTTCTTGCTACAATCCTGTCTGTCAATGCTCATTTTTTCCCTTTTCTCCTCTTGCATTCAGACCATCATTGTGGCATGGGTGCGAGCCAACCTGTGCGTATTTATCTCCCGGGAGCTATGGGACGAGCTGCTGGCAGTGCTGTCCTCTCTTACCTGCTGGGAGGAGCTGGTGACAGAGTGGGCCAGCATCATGGACTCGCTGACGGCTGTGCTGGCACGCTCTGTTTATGGCCTGGACATGGCCAACCTGCCTCTGGACAAGCTCAGTGAACAGAAGGAGAAGAAGCAGAGAGGACGTGGTAAGGGGGGGGAATGGGAAAAAAAGATGGGGAATGGAATGGCTATAATTTGATTGAGTAAAGGGTTTGAAATTATTTTCAGAAAGATAATTCTGCTTTCTTTCCATCTGTACCCTTTTTCTTCTTTTACTTCATCATGGATAGTTGTGTTCGCTTCTATCACTTGGACATTAGAAAGTAATTTCTGTTGATCAGTGACTCAGTGTTCTGCAACAGTAAAATGTGAAAAAGCAGAGATGGATACTTTTTATTGGCTTTTTATTGTTACATAGCTTCTCACCAAAGAACCAGAGTTTGTCAAAATGCAATTTGTGAAGTGTCAGATTACCACCAACTACATTGAACCTAACTTAGATTGATCAGGCTTTAGTTTGTACACATTGATCTGTGACGTACTAACTGCCCAACTCACATTCATCAGTGTCACAGCTTTCTGCCACGCTGATATTTTTCTGATTCTACCACAAAAAAATGTAAAATTCTGTTCACTGGAACTCTAAGTGTACACTTGAGCTTGCTAATGCTGGTTCAGGGAATTTACACACTACATCGAAGTTTAATGAACCCATCACTAATGTCGAAAGCCACGACTACTGTTTTAATAAGGTTTAATAAAGTCAAAAAGTACCATTATCTGTCTTATTTTCTTGACAGTAGAGTTAGTGGTGCTATAGCTGCTTATTAATGTAAAAATGTCTGCTGGTGTTTCAGTACTGAGTGTTCTTTACATATCAGGAGTGATCCAGGACTCCCAGAAGGCTGCAGCCGTCGCACGCTCATTCTCACTGAGTTGGAGGAACCAAGGAGAACAAGGCGGGCCAGGAGTCCAGGAGCCCATGAGGATTCGCTCAGCCACTACTTCAGGAGCACCCGGTGTTGAAAAGGCTCGTAACAACGTTCGGCAGAAGGCATCTGGTAAGTACCTGTGATGTATTATTGAAATGCCTGTATGTTACTGTACCATCAATAATTAAAATGGAACGGTGTGACTTTTATAAAACACTTCTTGTATGTAATATTCTATACTTATGCAGTATTATCTTCAAGCCTTGTGTGGGACAGCAGTGCAGTACTGGAAAAATTTTGGAGCACAACTTCAGGCTACAGGGTTTATCAGACATATTTATTGTGTGTGAAGGTCTTCAGACAGGTCCATGTGTACACAAGCCCAGGTGCCTTTGAAAGACCCAACACCAAAGACAAAAGAGCCAGCAGATGGCCCCCATTGTTCCCCTCACATGTCACTGGCCAGTGTCAACATGTTTCCATGTCAGCTCGATTGCAGGCATACAGCACAATCCCCCACCGACAGCATGTCAAAGGCCAGCTTTGGACGCTGCGACGCCCCTTATCTGATGGGAAAGTGGCAGGCTAATTATAAGTTGAGTTGGGAGGCAGTAGAGTTGTAAGTAGCTGCAGTGCCTGTCTTGCTTGTCTTAATTTTGTCTAGACAGAATCTTAATGTGGGGGATAAAAGACAGAGACAATCCCTTTTTGTTTCCTGGCCTTCCGCCTCCCCAATTACCACCAATGTTCTGAAATGACGAGCTTGTTGAGCAAGGAGCAGATGTATTTTTGCCTGAAGGATGAAGTCTTTAGATGGTGTGTGTGCGTACATGTACACATGTGCGTGCGTGTGTTGACACATCTATTATGTGCCTCATGCCTGTTTACGCACCTATTCTGTTAGTCTGTTTATTTGTAGCTGCATGCACGCAGAGATGGGCATTAAACACTACCGCTTCAAATTCCCTTCCTTTTCTTTGGCCTAATTGGATTTCTCCCACATTGATCTTCAAAGGCCCAACAGCCCTCCTCCCCACTCCTCAAGAGAAGGCCCACACATCAATTGCACGGCAGTTTTTGATAGTTTCATTAAGAGTGTAATTAATGCTCATTAATATGCATAAATGGGAAGCAGTGGCGGGCTGTAGCAGAGACGATGTATCTCTCACACTGAAAGGCATAATTAAAGTGTGCTGAAAGCAGAGAATAGAACTGTCCTCTTTCATTGCTCTCTTTGAGATTAAGCCTGAAGTGCTATCCAGACACAATGGCAATGCCTCAGCATTGACAACTGTCAAAACTTGGTTACACTTATGCATGCAAATACAAACTAATATTGTTCTGAGATCATGTCTTGATAATAGAGAAAAAGGCTCAATATTTCATTACGGTACTCATTAAGCTTCTACAGCTACAGAGGCCCAGTTCAACCAGCTCTCATTCTGCCATTGTGGGGATGCTTATAATTATACAAATTTATGTCAAGATTGTAATATAAGATAACATAGAAATAAGATCAAATGTAATAGATCTGGCCTGTACACAGGTAGTTCATTTTCTTTCTTTTTTTGTAGTCAACCATTTAAATTCAGCATCTAGTTAAATTGGATACTTACATATTCATCATAACAAAAGTTGTCTTTGATTTAAAATTTGATCAGTTTTAGTGTCTTCTGTCATATGAACCCACATCTAAGTCTAAACTAGAGGCTGACCAGTGAATTGGATTGGATAGCAAATGTTACTTTATTGCTGATGTATCTGTTCTGGTGTTTGTCAGGTGATAAGAAACAAGACTACAGACATACCGTAGACATTGTACTTGGAGTTCATTTTTTTACTTATAAAATGTGTAGCTCAATACATGAATATAAATTCTTGCCAAATCAATTTGAGGGGATATTGAATGAAAACTCAAAATGTTATGTTAGTTATAACATATTATCCACAGTACGTCGTCCTCGGTTGGGTCTTTCTTTACATGCCGACCTTGAGAAGGTCACACATGCTTTTATAAGATTCATCATCAGGAGTAAGACAAACTATTTAATGCATTGAGTTCATATAAAATGCAGCTGCTCTGCTTTTAACCAAGTCATTATTTATTTATCTTATTAATGTTGGCCTTTTCACCTGTTTTCTTATTGTGTATGTCTCTGGTGTCCATATGTTTGCGTTTACAATATTTTTATTTGCTTAATTTGATCTAATTTCAGTGCTAATTTGTTATAATGTTGTTTTAACTATGTAATGCATGTTGTAATGTTGTTTTAAATGATTGATAACTAAAGATCATCATTATTACTGTTAATCTTTAAACTCAAATGTTGACATCTTTTTCCAGTATTGGTCACGCTATCATCTAAACACAATATTGTGATGCTACACAAACAGCATCAGTACATGAAACAACAAAGTGGTCTTCCTGTTCTGAATTTACAAATTTCAGTTTCATTTTTTTCTTTTGGGATAGATCTTTTTGCAATTCTCTCTCAGAGCCACATTAGTTTTTTCTGCTGCTATTTTTCTCTTATTTCCAAATTCTACTCTGAATTTGGCCACATTACGGTCAAATTCGTTCTGCTGTGCTTTGTTTAATGAGGTTTTTCTGATTGAACATGTATTCATTAATGAAAGCTCCTTTGTAGCATTTCGTACTTTGCGCTCACTGAATACTGTCTTCTTCCCTTTGCTTCTTTTCTGTCTCCGCTGTCTCTACCTTTTTTCCTCTGCTCTATCTTTCCCTGATGGAAGCTAAGCGAAGCCAGTCCATCAGCAACTGTGTTCATCTATACGAGGCTTTGCCCACTACTAAAAGTGTTCCTATGCTGCTCCATACTGTGAGCTCTTTCTTGCCTGGTATCTCTTCTGGTAATTCTACTTGCTCTCACAGACTCTCAGGTAAAGTGTATTCTGAGAGCTGCATCTGTTTGTGTTTGTTGAACTCTGACCTGCTTTTCCTATTCATCGGTCACAACCTCTCATATACAGCTCTTTTCTGTTTGTTGTGACAGTCTTATTGTAGCTTTACCATAAACATTAAACTGTCTTTTAGGCTGAACATACTTAACAAAAAACATCTTTGCTGTATTGCCGCTGTACTGTATTCTGCAGTCAGTAACAAGCGTGTGTCAAGAATATACATCCCCACTGCATGACTGCATGTCCTACTTTCTCTACACGTCCTCATAAATGTCAAATCCTCACCTGTGCTGTTTCTAAAAATCCCTAAAAATAACAAATCACATATCCCAGTGTTGTTCCCATTTTAAGATTTCCATCGCATGTGATTGGTCTCGTGGCACTGCCTAACGATGCCTTTTTCCTCCTGATTGTCAGATGTGGAGGAGTGCCAGCTGTCAGAATGTGGGGGGGAAGAGGAGCTGGGAGGCAGGGAGAGCCCCCTGCCACGTAGCAGCAGCACCTCGGACATCACCCAGCAGCTGTCTGACACTTTACCAGGTATGTGCAAATGCAAAATTAATCTCAGTTTCCGATCATTTTTAGCTCTGTCTTGGCTGGATTCACACCCTCACGAGACTTGAATCACTCAAGTCAAGTGTCAAAACTTAAACTCACATACTGTCTGATATGAAACATGTTGATAAATCACTTTAAGTTTGTTATGTTCCATTGCTGTTGATACTGACAAATATTGTAGACGTTAAGGTTGTAGTTGGGGGTGGTGGAGTCGTATCATTGGAACTCCTTTGATGTATAAACATTCATCATATCAACACTTCAGGCTCAGACTCAATTTTATTGTCATTCCAACCACGTGACGTGATTGAACAGTTTCACAGGTCTCAGTTTGTTGCGTGATCATAATAATAAAAAAAGATAAATAAAATACAATAAAACAAAACCTATGTACAACATTGCACAAGGTACAATAGCAGCAACAGCTTTAAGGCGGTCAGTGAATAACCCTATTCAGGACTTTCGGGGTCTTTTGGACTCCAGGGCATTTGATTTAGGTGACAGGTATTGTTTTTTTATTTTTGATGATTTTTTTTTAAATATAAAAAGAGGGACATCTGTCATGCATTTGGAACCAAAACTACATCAACTTGTCCATAAATTTACTTAACATAGTATAAAAGTCTGTAATGAATACCAACAAATATTTTGCACATATTCTTTCTCGGAGTCCAAAAGACCTTCTACATATGGCAACATGAAAGTCCTGAATAGGGTTAAAGGTGAACTTTCAGACCTCTAGTGGCACTATGGAGCTGTCTTTCTGTGAGTGAGTCCCTGGTTAGTTCACCTTTGTTTATCTGCAATGCACAGTTTTACCAACGATGTCACACTACTCCACTGATCAACAGGTGACAGTAACACACCAAAATATGCTGCAATGCACCAGCACAGGAAACTAAGGAAGAAGACTGCTCTCACATAAACATTGGGTTCTTTTCATTCTGCTGATCTATACTTCCTCCCGTGTTTGCGCTTTCATCCTCTGACTGTGATTTGCAATTTGTTCCATCACTGAGGATGACTGAATGCTTTACAGCCAGAAATATATCTTATAGGCAGAATACAGTTTCACACGCTAACGAGGGCTTATTACACAGTCATGTGTACTTAATTAACAACGAACATATACTTAGAAGCACTCAAACTGGCATTAAACACAGAATAGGATGGCAGTATATCTAAACAACGCCTGAACAGGTTATCACAGCAATATTTACATTATAAAACGCATGTAGCACTTATTTTCACTTGTGCACGCACACGGTGGGTAATCATGTATTAAAGTGCGGTCAGTGCAGAGGATGCGCGAGGACAGGAAGTGACATCACCACCGACTGAGCAGGTATCAGAATTAATTACTATAAAACATAAAGACTTTCCGACAATATGTGTCATGATGAGGAATGAGGGGAAGCAGAGATGTGTGACGTGTGCTGTGTTTTACCGGATGGTAACACCCCAACAATCAGAATCTGTTGATTGATTGGTCGGCTAATGGTCAGCTAATTTGATGGGAAGGTCAAAGGAGTGAGTGGGCTGTTGTGGAATCAGTTTTACTGTAATTAATGGTCTTGCATGATTGTAATACTCCACATTAGACTTACTTCCTGTGGAGATATTGATGCTGGCACCAATGGCAGCTGTGCAGCATGTGAATCGTACTTTTCATTTTCTTAAGTTAAAGCTGAAATGCTTTCCATATTTTTCTCTTTTTGTGTTCCTAAATGCTCTGCTACAAAATTCTCGCTATTATTAGTTCTGTAAAAGTATTCTAAAGCTGAAAAGGAAGCCATACCTTTTGTAACTGAGGTCTTTTACCTGCTGTATAGGCTGTAGATAGAATTCAGAACATTTAAAGCTTGTTTATTGCTTCCTCTTGTCATCAGACCTCAGGTGTCACTGTAACTGAGGTCTTTCACCGACTGTATAGGCTGTAGATATAATTCAAAACATTTCAAGCTTGTTTTTTGCTCCCTCTTGTCATCAGACCTCAGGTGTCACTACCTGAAGTCTACACTTTTAACAGTTAAGATGCTATACATCTTGAATATACCGCCCTCTGAAAATGCAGCATATGTGGGTATATGTTGTTGAATAAATACAATTCCTTCATGTTTACTTTTCATCTCTTTCTGCGGCTCCCGCTCCTCGCTGGGAAAAGCAAAGACACAAGCAACATGAGTGAAAGAAGTGAGAAGCCGTGTTAGCCAAATGAAAAGCACCCATAGATCTAAACAATGCAGGATGTAAATACTTAAAAAATCAGCTTTTGTAAATGTTTTATGAGGAAGAAAATACATTCAACATTTACTATCAAAGATGCACATCGTCTGTTGTAATAAAGTAAATCAAAAATCCTCACGGCCCTTTATTGTCCTCCTCCACCCTGAGATGTTTTGCTTTTATTTTACTTCACAAGGTTTTCTGTTTTTTTCTAGTCACTGTGATGTGTTTGCAGAGGTTGACACTGAAGTACTGTTTATAATGTATCTATTGAAGGAGGAACATTTTTCTGAGCTACCTTAAACTCATTTTGAGACGTACAAGCACATTTTGTGACCTCACAAATAGCTGGCAAGTCAATTCCAGCCCCGCAGTACTGAGGGAAAACGTTACACTAATGTAGAAGAAACCTTTCAAATGAACTGTATGTACATATTAAAAGATCCTGAATGTCTCAATTGGAGGCAAAAAAACTCTGATGTGCTTATAAGATTTTTAAACAGGCGAAAAACCCATATTAGACATAATTCATCATTTTAAAAAGAATCACTTTGAATGTCCTAATGCATGACTGAAGGGAACCTTTATTTTTTGCCTTTGCATCCCCTGGGTTGTACTGAAGTAATTGGAAACAATTCTAGTGTCTAGAGTATATCCTCATACTGATTTTAATGCATTTCAGCCAATGGAATTAAACCCAAGGGCTCTCTACAATATCTCATTTTGCTTTTCAGCCCAGAAGAGAGAGTACTCCCCTACTTCCTGTGGTTCTGACAGCAGGATGTCTGAGGGCAGGAGAGAGAGCAATGAGCCACCAGTGGTGAGAAGATTGATCCTGTATTATAATGTTACGTCAAAGTAATGAAGCAAGAATCCCCCATACAAGTTTCTCCTCTTTTAATGTTTGTGTCTCCTAGATCCTCATCCGACGGAGCAGCAGTCCACCTGAGACAGAGTGCAATGCTGAGGGACACGCAAACTACACAAGGCCCAAGCTCAGAGAGAAAAGTTAGAGATTACCCCACTGGTTATTTCTTTAAAATGATGGTTCTTATTTTAATATACATACTTCTCTATATTAAACTTGTTTCTTTTTTTTTTTTTTTTTTTTTTACATCCTATCATCCAAATTTACCCGCCGTGCCAAGGTGAGAGTGTGAGTAGTGAGACGTCCAACGGCTACCTCAATGAAGCTGAAGTAACCTGGCAGGCATTTGATGAGGAGGCTGACACGCAGTCCACACAGTCGGCCCACATGGACGTGACAGCTGATCCCCAGAGCCAGGGGAGTCTGCTGCTCAGCCACAATGAGGCTCTCGCAGGTACAGGAGCTGACAAGAACTCACCCTATTCACCTGAAAAAGAATTTGGGCCTGTAATTATTCCTGATGCTGATCTACTTTAATGTATGTTTCTGCTAACAAATAATACAGATACCTTTCAGGGTGCATTATCGACTCTGGTCAAACGTCTGTCTGTGATGTAAAGCTGGTTTGATGCATGCAAGCAATAGAACAGATTATAAGAGGAACTCCTCTGTAACCATTCGGCACAGAGATGAAATAGTTTTGAAGAGGGCAGCGACTTTGCAGGTTTATCTGGGGTGTGTCGCATCTAATTCAGGTTTGGATGGATGGATGGATGGATGGATGGATGGATGGATGGATGGATGGATGGATGGATGGATGGATGGATGGATGGATGGATTAGTCATAGCTGGGTAAAGCAACCCAATATCTGCCACTGTACTTTTTTGACTAAGCCATTTAATCTTTTAAATCTGCTCACAGCTTGCGTTCTTTTGGAATTTTGTGAAAGGAAAAGTGACCTGTGGTTTCATTTATGGTTTTTATTTGCACTTATCTGTATTCTCATGGACAAAAAAAATCTAAACATCGCTTCAGCTTTAAACCATTTGCCTTTTAGTCTACTCACTCCATCATTATTGATGGACAAGTTGTAGTTCCCCCTCTACCCTTCCCACCCTTCTATGTGAACTTCTGTCTGTGTTTCCTACATTGTGATCATAGTGTCCCTGTGCTCCCGTCCTCAAACCCAGTTTTATCCCTTTCCCCTTGTCGTTTTTAGGTCCCGAGTGTGCCTTCCCTCCCCACTCTGCACCCTCCTACCACCACCACCACCACCAAAACCACTACCACTACCCCCAGAACCCCCCCGCTTCACCAGCCCTGCTGGTGCACACAGAGTGCCCGCGGGACTGCCCCCTGGACGACACCATGCATCAGTCTGTCTTACACATGCCACACCACTTGGGTACTGCTCCCTAGCTGCTACTCATCATATAGACCATAGAGTCTTCATTTACCATCCACTCTCGCTGCTCTATATTTCAGCCTTACCATGACTTCTGTTTCTTGCATCACACTATTCCATTTTTTGTGTTTTTTTCTCTCACACACATAACAAATCCTGTTTAATTACTTGACTACATAATATATTAAACTACTTTTTTGGTTCTTTGGAACCACACATAATTTTGTGAGTCTTATATTAATGGGGCAACAAGTTTTACTCAAAGAGTGGAGAAAAACTTCATTTTAATGTAACATCAAATCTGCTACACGATCCATTTCTGTCATTTCCAGGCCTTTACTCCCTCCAGTTCTCATTAGTCTTCTGCAGCCCACTAGGTGGCACTGTCCTTCCACACTTCATTTGGATGATGCATGTGATTTGTGCCAGTTTCCCAAACGTGTTTCTGTGCTTTAATCACTTAAGTAGGACAAATACATTTGGGAAAATGCACAGAAAAAATACGGATTTGGTCAACAGCTGCTTAAACAATGACGAAGATGGCTATGAGGATCTTTTAGTATATTTTAGCAAATACTAAATCTTAAAGTGCTTTAATCATCGTTCCTCTGCATTTGTTGACTGAATCCAATCTTCTCAATAAAATGAAATCTGGTTCACTTTGTATTGGGTACGACAAAGTACAAGTATAGCTGTTGCCAAATAATTTATTCTGTGACCTAAACCACCCAAAACGCTCTCTCTCTCTCTCTCTCTCTCTCTGGCCGTGCAGACAGTAGTGAGTGTCTGGCTGATGATGTCAGCATCATTGCCGGTGGGACTCTGACTGGTTGGCATGCTGATTCTGCTTTTGTCCTGTGGAGGAGAATTTTGGGTATCCTGGGAGATGTCAACAGCATCCGCTGCCCCAGAATCCATGCCAAGGTCTTCTCCTACCTCTATGAGCTCTGGCACAAGCTGGCCAAGGTACAGTTAAGAGACAAACACCCCCATGTGTATAAGGTAGAAAGCATATATATTTTTACTCCTTAAAATAAACGTAGTTGGCATTATCTTTAAGTACACAGTGACATCACTTAACTTACTGTTAAATGATGATGGCTTTCAAGTGATCATTGCATGAAAGGCAGATGTTGTAAGGATCTAATTAGGTTGATGGGGATGACATTTTAGCCGAGGCTTTATCCTTTCCTTTCTCACACAGAGATTCTTATAAAGATTGAATGCGATGGTTGTGTTCATTTACTGAAGTTCAGTGTGTGCTTACAGATCCGGGACAACCTAGGGATCAGTGTGGACAACCAGTCCTCTCCTCCCCAGCCTGCTTTCATCCCTCCTCTTCGAATGCTTGCGTCCTGGCTCTTCAGGGTATGAACAACACATAAGCACAGCAGACAACATTCAGAACACTTACAATAATCAAACCACTGAGGCCCGAAGTAGTTTCTGCCTGTTTTCTACTCCTGCCACATTTTTACTCACTGCAGGCTCATTTTTCACTGCAATATAAAGTTATGTACCTCTATGAAAACAGCACAAATGTGGCTAAAGCTAGAAAGAACAAATGCCCTTTGTGCAGTGTGACAGAGTTACAATGCCATAAAATGAAACAAAAAAAAAGAAAGTTGATTTGTTCTTGTAGTTGTTAAAAAACCTGCTACCAGTACTGGGAAATAAATGGTGACTCTTCATACTATAGATACTTAACTGATTTCATTTGGAATGTGTTTCCAGCTCTTTCTCCTTTCTGTTCTGTGTAAACACAGCCGGCAGTCAAGCCTAAGTCACCCAAAAATAATTTTTGTCACATGACTGTTGGTCACAGCTGATTCACTAATCTGTCCTCAGTTGTGCCAGGAAGTATGGAATTAGTTTAGTTTTTCACATTTTTAAATGAGACTTTGGATAAAGCGACTTGAATGAAATATCATGATTTTAAGTTTAGATTTTATCAGAGCGGCAAGTCACACACAAATGTTCAAAAATAGATCGTTAAAAATACAACAATTCTATTTGTTTTTACTGTTTGTTGTCTATGGGTCTGATGATGGTGTAGCTTTTGTGAGAGGGTTAAGACTGTGAATTAAACTGCATTGTAGTTTAGTAGGTGTACAACTGCTAAAAGTAAAAATCACAGCATTTTCATTCAATGGTATTTAATTTGCTCCAACATCATTAATATACCTCATTCAACTGTTTTAGAGATTAAATTAGATTAGATAGAACTTTATTGATCCCTTTGGAAGGGTACCTCAGGGAAAATGTTGTTCTAGAAGCAGCACAACACCGACAACGACAGTAGCACACATCAGTTAAGAAAAGAAAGCAGTAAACAAGGAAACAAAGGAAACAAACTGCTAGATAGGACAGCAGCACGGCGTAATAATAGTGATAATAATAATAGTAGTAGTAATAATAGCAATGTAAATAATAATGGTAATAATACTACTAATAAAAGTAATATGCTATATAATATAATAACAATTAGTGTAGTTATGGGTAATTATAGTTGAGTATATAAAATATAAAGAAGTTTTGGATATATATTGAAATATATATCTATAAAGAACATAAGTAAATATGTATCCAAATAAATAAATATATATGCAATGAAATATAATGAAATACAGGGTGGGTTTTTTGGGGGGAAGAATCCTGTAATGCTCAGGAAGCAATCAGATTACATTTCTTTTAGCCACTAATATCAAGCATTAAACCAGACTGAATGGTTAACACCTTAGCAGTGTCTATTTGTACTGTTTGGGCAGATTTATAAAAACAAGAACTTCATATTGGCAATTGAAAATGTGCAGTTTGTCTCTCTGGTGGGGAACAATGAGAGTTATCACATCAAATCAATCCAGTGGTGGAAAGTTTATGCAAAACGAAAGAAAAAGAACAAAATTCATCAACTTCTTAAACCACTTCTGCAGCATTCAACGACATGTCAGAGTCTTCGATGCCTCACAGTAACGCCCAGATGTTCTGTCTGTCCTCCACAGGCCACCATGTTGCCGGCAGAGTACAAGGCTGGCAAGCTGCAGGCCTACAAGCTGATCTGTGAGATGATGACCAGACACCAGGATGTGCTCCCTAACAGCGATTTCTTGGTGCACCTCTACCACATCATGCACAAGGGCTTCACCAGCGATGATCAGGTACGACCAGCAGGTGGCTTCTAAAGTACGGCTGGCAGTTAGTTTGTTTTTTAACCAGTAGATGGCGCCTCAGTCCAGCTGATATGCAGTGACCCTGTTTAAAAAAAAAACTGGAAAAGAATCATTTGTAGTTGCCAATTTGCGATGTACTTTTTAATGTCTGATTACGGTATTACTTCATCATGTTTCCTATTCAACTCGTGGTTTTTGCTATACTTCAGGTGAACCGTTTGCCCTTAGTGTGTGCACTTAATAAAGTGTACCAATTAATGTATTTGGGATTAACTTGATGACAGTTACTGGCAGGAGTGAAGACAGGTCCAAAAGGTACATGACTGTGGCTCAATATTTAAAAAACATTCCGCCAACCAGTGGTGGTGAAGAATGCTACTGTGTTTTGGCATCCTCTGCTTTTTTTTTTTTTAGCCACACCCTTCCTCATATTTAAATCTGGCATTGCTCCATATTGCTCTATACAAAGCTGAGTGGAGATGAATGGAGGTCTCCAAAACAAAGGACAAGGATTAAAAAAAAAAAAAAAAAAGTGTGTGTGTGGATAAGGGATGCAAGTGAATGTATGTACGTATGCTTGTGTTTAGGGGGAAGAAAATAAAAATTGTATTATAATTTATATATTTGTACATATATATAAAAAAATACGTGCCCTCCTGGCTGGGTTTCTATAGCGGCTTGGCAGTGCGACAAGCTTATTAGAATGTTTTCCATGTCGTTAAATAATGTTTTGAGCCCCTGCCGTGTATACGTGATTAATTAAGGATTGACGTCTGTCGCGCTCCGTTAGACTGACACGTCGGCCGGGGGCCCAGAGTAGACTGGCCTGCCTGCCTGCCTGCCTGCCTGCCTGCCTGCCTGCCTGCCTGTGTGTACGCGAGTGTGTGTGAAGGAGTGGGAGGGGAGCCTAGGGAACGTAGTGGTAGAGTAGAGCAATGAGGGGGGCACACTGAGGGACCAGGCAGCATTCTCAAGCTTTTGTTGTGGCTCTGTATAATGCGTTGGGGGGCCAGAGCCAGGCTGGCCACTGAAGCATGCTCAAATTGGCCGGAGAAAAGAGTCCTCACGCCACACAATAGAGGACAGCCGCACGCCTGCTTAACATAAGAAAGTGGCTCTTATTCTCCCCCTCCACCTTCATCTGTGCCGTCACCCCCACCCTCCAATTAACATAAAAAAAAAAAAAAAAAAGGGAAAAAAACACTTTGTCAAATATTTTCAAATCATGCATGTATATATATATTTAAGCATCTTTTGTATACGTGGATGTTTCACTTAGTTTACATGATTGAAGTTACTGTTGGTGCAGACTAGTGAGGAAGTCACCTGATACGATTGTACATGTGCTATATTTAAGTTAAACATATTGTTAGTGTTTGGTTTAGTATTTTACGTACAGTAGTTTTTACATGTTTGTATGTTTAAATAGTCTCATTTCTATGTTGAGTGCTTCCTTTAGCCTACCTGTCTGTCCAGTAACAAAACATGCCTTAAACAGCCATGGTTTATAGACTACAAGGGGAATCCCAGTGTAAATCCTCACCACTAAAATCAACCAAGCTTAGAAGGAAATGACAGTTCCCTTGGAGGGATTCTCCTTCCAACTGACAGAGTGCCAAGGTCAGGGCTATTGTCCTGATTGTCTGTCATTCTCTGGTCACTGGTCTCACAAAGGCATGACCGTAGCACAAAAGCAGTAATCTGTCTAATAGGTCCACAATCTGGACTGCAATAGTCAACAGCGTATTTTGTGAAATATAGTGAAGTGCACACAAAGCTTTTATGTATTTATTCACTTTGCATTCTGTAGGTGAGCGAAAACATCAGTCATTTACTTAAAAACACCCATTAGACTTGACAGCACTGACACGTAGCACCATAGGGGCAAGTCGATAATCAGTCTTTCCACCTACGCAAAATTAGCTACTCCTTAACTTAGCTCCTTTTGTCACAACAAAAACGAGAGGTCTTGTGTAATTTATATACTGTCAGATTAAAATGTCAAGGTTGATTGCACGATCACAGATGTGGCTTTTAATTAAACATGTCGCCTCGTAGTCATGCAGGTGGCTTGTGTCGCTTCCTAACAGCTTGTGAAGTGAAACAGGGTGTGAACTGCAACAGGTAATCCGTCCCACACTAAACTGGATATGACCATGTTTAGCAAATGAGACCGAAAAATGTGTGATACTGTGCAGAGTGATGAAATGCCAGAGTGAACCCCGTCACCCCAGGGGCCAGCAGGTGGAAAGCGTGTGCTTTCCTGGAGATGAGGCCACATAAAAAGGCCCGAGGTGGTTCTATTCAGAGTTACGTTAATGCACCTTTTGTTGATGCAGGGGCCATTCCTACTGCCAACACAGCACCACATGCGGTTATTCCCATTCCACATTTCTCAATTCTGATTTCTATACACACACCTCAAATCAGGTTCTCTGTACTTCCACATACAATTGAAAGCACTTTGCATTCTACATTTGTGGCTTCCTCTAAAATGCTCATTTCAGGCAATCAAGAAACAGTTTGTTGCCTGCTAATTACCTCTGACTGCACTGCACATTATGCTTCAGAGGTCAATTACCAACAAAATGAGGGTAAAATGGGCCCTCAATCCTAAAGCTCTTCCCACCAATTTTCCACATGCAGCGCTGGTGTTGGTTTGACTTCCTACTTATTGCCTCTGTGTGTTTATTCTATTCTTCTTTTGTTCACCTGCATTCCCTGTTTACCAAAGCTTTGGGTGATTAATGTCACAGATAGATAAGTGGTACAGTGTGTGTGCGTGCCTTTGTGTGTGCGATTGAGAGAGAGAGAGCGAGAGAGAGAGAGAAATTGTGTGCATGTGTTTTTTTTGTGAAGTCGCCCTTTGGTTGGGCTAGAAACAGGCTGATGTTTGAACTGTCTGATTTACACAAGTTTATGGCCAAAGACGGCAGGTGTTTCTAGCTTGGACCTTGCCTTTGTACACAGATATGCACATGCATGTGTCAGATAAGAGAATGAACAATCTTTCTGCCTCACCGCTGAGATGCTGCATTCTCATACCAACATGGTTTTTCATAAATAAGAGTATTTTCTCTGTCATTGGAGAGGGAATTTAAAAAAAAAAAAAAACTCCTTGCTTCAAGTCTAAATATAGCACGGACAACCTGTTAACATCTTTTCTGCTTTTGTCTAGCGTGGTATTACACTGTACATACTTAAGCAGTTTGTGGAGAACCCTCTGCGGTAGAGCATATGTCAGTACTGAAAGAGCACCCATCTGCCACTGAGCCGCTCGTACCTCAGAAAAACAATACCTTGTCTCTGTCTTTAATTACAGGTTTGCTTGTCTGTGTACATACATGTGACTCATGAAAGTTGAGGTCTTTTGTCCTCCCTCGTATCCACTGTGAACAATCCATCTGCTGCTTCTCCCGCTCTTTCTCTTCTGTCTTTCTTTCCCCACTCTCTCTTTTATGTCCTTTAGTGGCATGTACTGTTGAGTGCTTTACTCCCCTTAACACTTAAAATGCTTACTCTACCTGGCGAAGTGAAAAGCTTTCTCCCTGCCACGTCTCTCACATGGTAGCCCATTTGCAAAATATTTCTTACTACTTCATTCCACCCACATTAACAAGAACCTATGCTCATACCAAATGCAAGAAAAACCCCAGCTGTAACTGTAAACGTACTGGAGATTTGCAAAGAAATTCAGCTGAGTTATAATTCAGTGTGTTTATGTATCAAGTCAATTGCCTGTGTCTAATAACAGACATCAATGCAGAAAGGATTGTTTGCCTCCTATTAATATTTATGTGTGTCTATTCTTGTTATCAGGATGTTTTGAACACCATCATCCGCTCCTGCTCGCCTCGATTCTTCTTCCTTGGCCTGCCGGGCTTCACTATGCTAGTTGGAGATTTCATCACTGCTGCTGCCTGCGTCCTCACCTCTGACTCCTTAGAGGTAAAAAAAAAACAAACACCTAACATTCAGATTTATTGTGCGAATCATACACAGATGTATCACTCAGAAAAGAAGCTGTGAAATAAATATTCCGTATATATTTAAAAGTTTTCAGAAATGTCGAGTAATTCTGGGTGTACAAGAAGGATAAAAGGAATTCATGGTCACAAAGATTTCAATAAAATTCCAAGTCCAGAAGTCCAAGGCCCCCCTCATATGTAATGATCTATAGACCTGTTCCATTAATAACAAACTACGCTGTAGCATTTTCTTGACTTTTAACAATTCAAGTTGTTTTATGAAATTGAGGAGTAACAAAAGGAAAGTCTGAGGGACCAAATAGTACAAATGTTTGAAGCTTCTTTTATTTGTTTGGCTCACAAGAACATCAAGAATACAGTCTTTAAGTGCTGAGTCATGGTACATACATGTAGGAGAGAGCAACTATGGCTGGAATTAAACCCACAAATTATTTCCTTGTATTGAAATGTTATTGTTCATCATTGTTGTTCCTCCATCTTTGGGAACTAAATAAACATTTTGCGCTATCGACAGAAAAATGCACATTGTGGATATAAACAGAAGGTACAAATCTTTAGTTAAAGCTCTGTTAGAGGAGCAAAGATCAGTTAATTACAAATCTAACTAACTGCTGTGATTATCGAGACAGCTTCAATAAAGACACATAAGCAAATGAGCATGAAGTGTGTTAGTGGGACTTTGTCATGTTTAATTAATTTTGGAAACCAACCAGGTACTGTGGTCTTTTTCTCAGAATGAGTACACACAGGTGATGGTCCTACACACAATCTTTTGTAATTATCTGATAACATAGCTTCATGTGAACACACAGGCTCGCAGTGGACTGTGACCTGATGTGGAGCAATTAATCGAGATTATGTTGACAGACCAATACAATAAGCAGTCAGTGTTGACTTGTTTCCACTGAGCGCAGATTTAGACCTGAGCGTGGCTGAGTTAATGCGAACCGTCTCTTAACAACATGATATTTCAAGAACACCTTAGAGGGACATTTGCACGTGTGTGGTTTCCTCCTCTTTTGCTTGCCAAAAATCTTCATATCTTCCAGCATGGATTTATTACCTCTTTTTAGTTTCACAGCTGCTCATCAGGTGCAACATGTTCCATCTGCATTGGAGCTGCATCCACCGCGCATTTAATCATCCATTTTGTTGTCCAACGCCTACCATGTGTCACGTCTCTCTGTTCAACATGAGCAGAATCATGAATAAAGATCAAATTAATTCTGCTAGATCCCTTCAATCCTTTTCCCTTGGACAGTGACCTTCCTGTTTCCTGGGAGTGGGTTGTTTTCATATTGGTTTAAGACTCATGACAGCTTGTTTTTTGTGGTGTTGTTTTGTTTTTTTTCATCTCTGCCAGGCTCCAAGGATGGAGGCTCAGACAATCCTGGGCTCCCTTGTGTGTTTCCCCAACCTTTACCTTCAGATTCCTGTACTGCAGCATACGCGTGGCTCTGATGAAATCAATGTAGACAAAGAGGATATCAAGGTAAATAGTCAAGATGTGTGGTTTGGAGTACAGTGATGACTTTTAAAAGCGAAACCTGCTTCCTGTATCATTGCATATGAATTGCTCATCAGCTGTATGGATATAGTTAATCATATCTTAAACATGAACCCACATAGGATGTATAACATTACTGTTAAAGTGACAGCATCAGACATGTGTGACTGTTGTTACTGCTCATAGCTTCATTCCACACATAATACTTTCCATACACATGAGGTTTCACACTCCATCAAGTGACGCATAAAGCATGAGATCGTGTTGTCCATATATCCTGAATTTCCCTCTGGGATTAATAAAGTCAGGCTAAGTCTATATGTAGGAATGTCCCACGTCAGTAAGTCTTAGTAATCTTGTTGCATGCCTATCTGTTTACGCATCTACATACAGTTCAGACTTGTGTTGAAAGTGATGCATACATGTTACTAAAAGTACCGATCGACCTACTAAGATGGCCGTTACAACTTTTTCCTGAAAAGTGAGCAGGGTGCTCATTCAGACATAAATGTTCAGATGTCGTCCAGTTAACTGACAGCCGGTTCAGCCAGCAGTGTGGAACTTTTCTCTCCCTCTCTGGCAGTGACAATAATTACAAAAACGCTGCCAGCGCATGCACATGACGCAACCCTCACCTTCGAACGCTTTCTTTTTTTAACACTGTAATCTTTTATATAAACACTGAATTTATTTATCTTTTTATCAGAAACTTCTGAGACGTTTTCTTTTAGATGTTTTTGCGTCATACTCCAAGCTGCTGAATCCTAAACTGTTTTGGCTGCTACGGTATTCCCCTCTTCAGCTCTGGCAAACCATTCGTTGCTGTGTGACAACAAAGGCATTTCTACCATTGCGTCCAGTATACTGTGAAAAATAGCTAAATGTACCTGGTGCTGATAGGCTTAACCAGCATTGTGTAAACTTAACTGGCAAGTACCAGAATGTCACAGTGGGTCAGTTTCATGTAAAAGTCTCACACTGTAGCTTGAAGGATCATTTAATTTGACTATACAGTTGCATGTTACAGTGGATGGCATCACATTTTTAGGAACATTAAGAATGGACTTGATTGTAATTTGAGAACTAGTAGCAAACCTGTTGTGTTGTCTTTTCTATTTAGAATTATCTGGTCAACATCCTGCTGGAGACGGCAACGAAGGAACACTGTGAAGGGGCAAGGTAGGATTAGCAATAGTGGTGATACATTTGCTCTTATGTTACATTTGTCAGCTTGGTATGGCTCGGTCTCTACATGCATGTATGTATGCCTAAGGGAAACTAAATAGCTAATGATGACTCAGCATTTACTAGCCATTATCCTTAAGCTGATGTATGTTTGTACTCTGTCACTCAGGTGCATCGCTGTGTGCAGTCTGGGTCTGTGGGTGTGTGAGGAGCTAATGCAAAAGAACATCCACCACCAAGTTAAAGATGCCATCAATGTTCTGGGAGTAACACTAAAGGTTCGTGACCCTCTGATTCAGTGAAGCTTTATTGCATTGTGGACACATCATGTGTGTAGTATGTAGTAACACAATAAGACGTTTACCATGGGTTGTGTTAATTTCTTTTTAAATAGAAAGTAGATTACTAGCCACCGTGTCTTAAAACGAATAGATGCAGGAAGCTCTTTTTTGTTGTTTGTTTTACCATACAAGCCCTATAGTGTTTAGCTCTAACAAAAATGATAGTTGATTACATAAAAGGACTGCAGAACAATTTCAACATAGTGAGGGTCGAAAAAGTGTGAGAATAAAACATGTCCAGTGATGTGACTCATGGGTGTATTTTGGAAGAGCCCTCTTTTCTCTCTGAGTGAAGAGATGCAGAGAACCAGTAGAGGCTATGTGTGTGTATTTTTTTTTTTTTTTTTTTTTTTCCAGGGAAAAGGGTTTGGGGCGGTGGCGTAATTTCCAGGCTGCTCGCTCTCAGTAGATGTGGGCCAATTTAAGCAGCTACATCTCCCAGCTTCCTGCTCGAGCAACCCCCCTCTCTCTCCTCCTCCTCCCCCCTTCTCTAATGGAGCAGTAATCACTTCCCCGTACAACTTGACACACAGACTCAGCCAGCCCCAAAATAGAGGGTATAGGCTGGGTGGGGGATCTAGGGGGAAGAGTGGCACTGAGAGTCTCTTTTCTAAAAGCAGGTGCTGAACTCTCAGGGCCCCTTTTTGTGTTTGGCCATTTCTGCACTCCCCACATTGTCTGCCCTTGTTACATGTTGAGAGGCATTCAGCTGGAAGAAATGGGAAATTCTATTTCTCCACAAAGAATTTCAAATCACTGAAGAAATCCACATTTGAAAGAAAATTGTCAATAGCTCAATTCTTGCCTCCAATGAGTCTGGAGAAAATGAGCCATGGTTTGAAGTGAAATGAAATTATGCTGATTATCTGCACAGTAAGTGAAAAACTAAATTTAAGGAAAATTACCCCGAATTTTGTCACAGTCAGAGTGTTCCTAAACTTTTGTCACCGTCTTCAAGCGGCAATGTTCCTCTGCTGTTTTAGAATTTAGGTATTTAAGTAGCGCGGATGCATCAATAGCAGGTGGAGAACAAGTGACCCTTCCAAGGTGTTACTCTTGGTGGAACTTTGAAGTGTAGAAATTTGCAAATGCACATAGGTAATACTTTGTACATATGTAATTTATGCATATGTGAAGATGTGTCCAGTTTCGAAATGTGTAAAGAACCTTTCTTCTGACTGTACAGGCAACATTAAGATCACTATTTTTTATAGTTGCTTGTTTAAGTTACACTGGGGAGTCATCATTGGGCACCGCTTAGTTGTCTACAAATAGTTCCAATTGTATCCTAACTAATGAACTCACCGTTGAGTCATTTTAGCAGCTTTAATATTCAAAGTTATTCTGCTGTGTATGTACACATATATGCTGTTTATGTCTCTAAAGCATGAATATAGTGGCACGATAATAAGCTGAGCAGATTTTTAGTCCCAAGTTTGCCTTTATTTTGAAACTAGGAGGAGGAACTCTCAATTAAACTCATATTGATGAAACAAGAAAGAAAGCAAAACCGCCTCAAGACTATACAGTAGGTTTCAAAAGTCGGACGCCACTACCGAAGAGAGTTCAAGTTTGCATGCTGAGTCCTCAAGCCCGGTCTCCACATGTTTCTGCAAAACCTGATAACCCATCATGTCCCAGCATAATGTGCCAATGTTCCAAAGAGCTTTTTGTGACGTTGACCTCCCATCTCTCAAAACACGCTGTGACCCCACCAAAATGCATCGCACAGGTGTTTACACAGATGATGAATTGGAAGCGTTGAATTGAAGCGTCCTGTGGAGACATATCATAAGGCTAAAAGGCAATATAGTGTTTTTTTTCTCTAAGCAAAATCGCTGCACCAAGCGTCTTTTTTTTTTTTTTTTTTTTTTAAGAGTGCTCCGCCTTTTTTGTGCAGCCACTCTGAGCACTTCCAGTAGAAAATCTGTGAACTTCTCCGAAAGGCGCCGGTGTCCTCACTTTCGCTCCTTTTAAGGCAACCAATCATATGGGTGGGACTCGTCACCCTGGTAAGAAAATGGAGGAGAAGCTTTTTCTGCGCGTCTGTCTATCCCGAACTGTGTGATATGTCAGACAGGAATTATCACAATGAGAGGCGATGCTAGTCTACCATACAATGGCAGTTAGAGTGGTGATATGTTGTCATAGAAACAAAACCAATGCGCTTCCTTCCAACACTTTTTTTTTTTTGATGAAGGGCTGGGATGAAGCGCTCCCCAGTGCTCTGCCAGCACTTTTCTGTCAGAGAGAAAACATTACATGGATACATGTCCTCACCCCACCCCAAGCGTTTGTCTTTGCTTCCCCCTCCTGAGAAGTGGTTTCGAGACCACTGCTCATCCTCCGAGACCACTGCTAGACAGCCGTCTTTTGACAGGACTTTTGCTGATTTGAGTCATGCATTCTTTATGTGGCAAATTCTGTATCTGTGATGAAGCTGCTTTTCTATCTCTCAGTGGGCAAAGCTTGTTGTACTGATCTTCTGATGGCATGCTCACTTTTGCTCTGCCTCGTCCCGCTTTGGATGCTACCAATCCACTTTTCTCAAAGCGTTTCAGAGCACTATACATTGCCCCCTTACAAGCCCTCTGCTAGCTCGAGCTGTGATTTGACACTGAGAAAGGCCCTCTTTGCTCAGAATCACAATCTGACTTCTGACACTAGTTCTGATGCCAAACAAAGTTCTGCTAGAAACTTTATTTACGCGAAGGTTTGGGGTTGATTTACTCAAATAAACCTCTGATGAGTCAATCAAATCAAGGGTCGAATGAACACTTGAACTCAAGGGAACAAGATGATCTGATGTCTTGTGCAAAGGAGACAACATGGTCAGTGCTACAAAGTTGTTTGAATTTGCTGCATTTAGTGCAGCATCTTAAATAGAGACTGAAGACAGTATTGATGCGGCAAAATATCGTGCCACTTCCTTCCTCTCTAGAAGGATTAATTTTTATTTTATTTTACATAGTCAAGCGTCTTGTGTTTTTAAATGTTTCCCTCAAGCTTTCTGATTATATCCAATACATGCCCCATGTATAAAAATATTGCAGGTTTTCTATGTGCGCTCCGACTTTTTTTTACCACATTGCAGAGTAATATATGAATTGTTTCTATGTGTGTCTTACTTTGCTCATCAGGATCAAGTTAATTGTTATTCAGTTCTTACAACGTTCCCTTGTTTTTCCAGTTCGGGAACAAAGCAGTGGCTCAAGTGGCCTGTGACGTGTTTCAGCTGCTCATCTCTCACTGGGAACATCTCCAGAGGTTGGAGTCCGCTCTCCCGAAGAAAATTATCGAGGTGACATACGCACACGTGCACACACGCAGCAACATTGTACCTGTGTTATCGTATTACAGATAAGACGAGAAATTCCCATTAAGTCATTTTACCTTTTAAGTGCAAGTCTTACACAAATTATTACCTCATGCATATGCATACTCCACATGGTGGTTTTACGTTTATACAACCCTGACTCAGCTGATGAATAGGAGTGTGTCATCCAATTATCTTTATCCTTGTTTTGTCCCTACACAGATCTTTGTGGCCACAATAGCCTTTTTGTTGCCAAGCGCAGAGCACTCAACAGTGGAAGCAGACAAAAAGGTACATGTTGGAAAGGAGGAGACATGAAATGGCTGAGATCTAAAGGCCCTTGATCTATCATGTTGGAATGGTGCATTTGCACAGGAATGTTTCTACTGAAGTAATTTGTTGTCTTCTCTTTTCTTGTCTACCTCGCTCTGTCTGAATCATCTATCTTTGCTCAGCTCTCATGTTTTACCTGCTCCTAGTCTTTTTTTTTTCTATACTAATAATACACATTTTGTTTTGATGTTGGTCGACTGAACTGAATAGGGAACTTCTTTCTTCTAATCTCAGTTGATGGTGTCGCTGCTGCTCTGCCTGTTGGACTGGTGCATGGCCGTACCTCTGAGCCTGCTGCTGGAACCCATCACCATGCCCTCACTGGATGACCACACAGCCCACAAGGCCCCACTGCTGGACTACATTTACAGGGTGGGTGTCCTCAGTGACGGGGAGATGGGGAAAGTTTTTGCTGATTTATTTTTATTGTCCTTTGAAACCGTTGCCTGCAGACACAACAACTTCAGCTTTGACACTTCCACCCCCCACTGTACCACATGGGCTTGCAACTTTAATTAGACTCACCTCCACCGTGACCTTATGACTACGCCTCATTTAACATTATAGTGGTACAACAGCATCGAAGCACCCTCCACATTATAGTGGTACAACAGCTTAGAAGCACCCTCCATAGCTGACACGTGTGATTGGTGGTCATCATACGTAGGAGACCCTCACAGCGTTCTTTGCATTTAGCAGCATTTGTTTAAAACATGCAAAATATTCAGTATCCAATCTACGTCTGTTTTCGTCCCTCTCACTCTTTATTTTATGGTGTGACCCTGAGGATGAGGGCCAAGCTTCAGGCACAAATGAATGAGGTATTATTCATTCCCTCCTGTCTGGGCAGATGCGGTCAACGGCAGATCTTTGTAAGGATGTCACCCCTGATAAGAAATGGTCCAATTATTCAAACAGGACCCTTTGTCCAGTTGATAAGCTCAGGCTATAAACGCTTGTCCTGGAGATTTGAATGGAATATGTCTTAATATGAGAGAGACTGCAGCTGCTATGAAAGCAAAGACAATTAGGCATGATTGGTTGTCTATCGGCACACAAAAGAGACAGCCCCTCTCGGTTTCATTCAAGGCATCACAAGGTGTGACAATATTAATGTAATATCAAGACCAAAATCTATACATTTCCACAGACACGTCGGCTGCTAATTATTCTGCGTACCAACCACAGAATAATTTCTTGAATAGAATACATCTCGCTTTTATTTCGTCACTGGCAAGCATTACTGACGTGTTTTTTATGCGTCACCTTCATTTAAATACAATTTTAAGTTTAAAAAAAAGCTTGAAATCATTATTTTTTCCACGTCATCAAACTAAAAAAAAACTAATGAAAAAGCTGCCTTGCATCCCGAGATGCAGAGAAAAGTGATAAAAGTTGGTTTTGGTGATTAACAGCATGCACATTGTTGCAAAAAGTGACATTGCACTAGACCTTATTGGTTCACTGGGGTTCTGCTCAAGCTTCTCCATCTGCTCTCTCTGCCTGCTGCAGCAGCCAGCTGCACCACCCTTGTGTGTATATGTGTGCATGCATGCATGTTTATGTGTGTGAGGGAGAGAGAGAGAGAGAGATAGCACAGATAGGTACAATCTGCTTAGGTGCACATGTCTCTGCCTTTTTATTATTTGATTTATGTGTGTACATAGTGTACTCACATCTCCATACAGTATGTGCTTTTTCGAACTACAGTATGCTTATTTCACTGTGTGTTACCTTCCAGGAACTGTTGCTATGTGAAGTGCAGTCACTTAGTTGTCAAGCACAGCCGTGGGTTTTCCCCCCTCCCTTCCTACCTCTCTCCACAGAGGAACCTCTTTGGGGCTTTGGTGTAGCAGCTGTTTGGTTCAGGTCTTTTCAGCATCAAGCCTCCAATCCCTCCCCCATGCACCCAGAGGTCTGCTCAGTAGAATCATCCACATACTGTCTACATTGCCCCACACAATACTGTTTCACATGGCAGAGCCAGCCTGCCTCTCTGAGCGTCTCTCAGCCAAGTGTGAGCGTATGTGTGTACTGAATGGGATTAGCCTTTGCATGGCTTTACCCAAGTTGCTCCACTCTGAATAAGAGGCACCCTCATCTACATACATTAGGCATATGTTTCAGTCCCTCAAATGGTATCGTTACCTCCGCTCGTATTATATGCAATACAGGTGCGAGTGTGTGTACGCGCATGCATGTATATGTGGCTAAGCGTGCATGTTTGTGGTGGGAGCTGAGCACAAGGATAAAGTCTTAATTAAATCAAACAGTGTAAACCTGTCCAATGGCTGTAATCAACTGCCCCAGTGCGCCTTATCTAGCACTGCCAACGGATGCTCTGCCATCTGTTATGTAGATCGATACACTCACACATCACAGGAGAAATGGATTAGTGGCAATAAAGACCCTCTTTTCTTTCCCTCTCTCCCTCCCTCCCTCTCTCCCTCCCACCATAGCCTTATGATGTAAATAGACCATATATTCCCCTTTCACAGGCTCCTGGATCACGGCCATCGATAACAGGACAACACGAGCATCACTGTACATTGTCTTGCAAGACAACCCCATATCAAACAAGATCATGTTTATACACATTAGAGTCATAGTGCCTCACACTGTCACCTTGTAGAAAACTAGCCAGGCATTCTTTGTGTGGACATAATTACTAAGTTCTTTTTTTTCCCCTCTCCTGTTCTGTTCCTCAGGTGCTGCACTGCTGTGTGTCCGGTTCCACCCTGCACACCCAGCAGAGCCACTATCTCCTGAGTCTGTCAGATTTGTCCAGTGACTACGACCTCATGTTGGGTCAGGTTAAGAGCTTCGAGCCACCACCCTCCCAGACCACCACCACAGAGTTTGGCAACTTACTCACTGTAGCTGAGGGTAAGGTCACATGGGAGTAGCATCTCTCTATGGTGTGTTTGGGGACAGCTGAATGTCCTTTTTGACTACCTGGACTACAGATGTTAGGTTTACTGGGTGTGTAATATAGAGGCAGTAGTGATGGGTAACTGATCTTTTGGAACTGATAAATGTGGTAAAAATGAAAATCTTGGTGTTAATATGAGGAATAACACAAACTCCAACACAAAACTTTCTTTAACTGCTTTTCTTTGTGTATGTTTTGTATTTGTTTAATGAATGAGATCTTTTCCAAATAGATATAGATTGACTGTTGCGTGTGACATGTAACCAATCAGATGGTGCTATGGGTCAGACATTGCTTGAGAACACAGAGTGGCGACTACAAATAGAGAGAGGTGGCCACATGAAAGTAATACAATTTGAGCCTAACATATTTTATTGAAAACATGTTCAGAAATATTCGTATCCATAATTTGACAAATGTTGAATATTGAGCCAAATAATCAGACAAACCGATCTGTTAATCCCGAGTGTACACATGTACAGATACTTGGGTGAGAGTGAAAAAACTTGCAGTTAGTTGTTCATGCCAGCTGAGGATGACAATCCCTCTCCATGCTTCGACACACTACTTTCAGCTCCATAGTATACTTCTTACAGTATGGAGCTTCCCCACCAAAAAAAAATAAAATAAATCATCCAAAAAGGTTACAGGTAAAAGCTATCTCTAAGTAGCCCATCCATTTGGAGCCTCTCCATTAAATGTCAATATCTTATTAAAAGTATAAAAAGGAAATCAACCATCACAGGGAATGGAATGTTCGCATTAGTGCTCAGCCCTAAAGAGAAGACCCATTATGGGGTTTAGATAAAAATGCTGGGGTTTTTTTTCTTCTTTTTTTGTGACCTTGTGATTCCATTAGGCAATATATTCGTCTCTCTCTCTCTCTCTCCCTCGCGTCCTCAACTTCTAAAAAAGTCCCCAAAGCCCAAATACGCAGTGCAGTATCTACTGAAACAATGTAAGAAATTTGAACAGTAGCTTTTGTCAGGAAAATTTCATCACACTTGTGCTTTTTGGTGCACAGCTGCACAGTGTCTTGGTAGAAATAACAAAACACTATCAAAAGGGCAAACCAAAGAGTGCCGGCCTAGTTATATTCATGCCCTCACCTCATATTGATCAAGTCACATCAAAGGGCCAGTGCATCTCTAATGCAGCTTGGCCTGCTTTCTAAAGAGCTTTCTCCACTTTGATGGGGGATGATGGTATTGATAGCACTGTCACAATGCAAGAGTACATCTTCTTGTTTTTCCCACATCACTGCAGAATAAAGCATGCCACTTCTTTCACTTGCGAGTAAAAACATGTGCATTTACATAAATGCAATCCACAAAGTAGAGATCTATTCAGCAGCCTGTAAAGATGGTGGTTCTCATTAGTACTTGGCCAGTCTCAACGCTTATCCATTGTAAGAAGACTCAATGGGCTTTTCAAAGTTGTCTCTTATGATTAGATGCTACCTACTTAGAGGTGTGCTGGCCAAGCTATTGTGAGAAATGAATAAAGTACCCCTATTAGTAATCATAAATGAGATTTGGCTTTGTGTAAAAAGAGCTAATAGAGATGATAGCATGTCTACACACAAATGTGGGGCTTTTTAAGTATGGTTAGCAAAGTCTTTGTTCAATACATTATAAAAGATAGCCCCATGTGCAGCAGTATTCTAAACCCATCAGTAATATTTGCTCTTGATCACGTTTTACACTCACATGTATTTTCCTTCAGAGACGGTCTCAGTATTTTCATCCTCCTGCCCTTATTCTCCCACCAGAAAAGCGTCGCCGAAACATGGAGCTGATACCTCTGACAGCACGGATGGTCATGACACACCTGGTGAACCATCTAGGTCATCATCCTCTGAGCGGGGGCCCTGCTCTTCTCCACAGCCTAGTGAGCGAGAATCACGACAACCCGTACGTGGAGTCGTCCGAGCTGTCCTCGGAGGTCTTTAAAAGCCCCAACCTGCAGCTGTTTGTCTTCAACGACAGCACACTGGTGTCCTACCTACAGATCCCCGCTGAGACACCCACTGTTGGACAGCCCCCCCAACCCTCCTCCCAAGTGCGTGTCATTGTCCGGGACATCTCGGGCAAGTACTCGTGGGATGGTGCAATCCTTTACTGCACCACACAAGAAGACTCTGTCGATTTGGGAGTTTTTAGTGCAGTCGACCATCCTTCTTCTATGACCACTACAGTCCCTCACAGCAGAAACCAGCCCGCTTCTCCGATAAAGGGACCACACAAAGATCACTGCTCAGTCTCAGACTCCCTCTCTAACTGTTGTGAGGAGGATGAGATCGATGTTCTGGATACTCTTTTGGAGGACCTTGGCCACAGTAGCCCAGAATGCCTGCCCCAGCCACGTCTCAAGCTCAACCAGCCAGCCCCATCACCCCATGGCATGAACTTGGAGCAAGAGAGCGCCATCCTGGAAGCCATTCTCCGTCAGACCCAGCAGGAGGAGGAGCAAGTGAGGAGGTGGGATGCTGATGTCAGCTTTCGGGCTGCCTGCCAGAGGGAACCCTCCCACCAGGAACCAAAAGCTCCTTTTTACTTCTGCCGGCTGCTGCTCAATGATCTTGGCATGAACTCTTGGGATCGCAGGTATTACCAACTGAAATTGGCTGCAATCGTTAATCTGGTTTAGACTGTAAGAGAGAAAGAAAGAGACAGAGGAAAGAGGGATTGTGTGATGTAAATCAGGGATCTGATGCTGTTTTGTCATTCAGTGTAGTTATTCATCTACAAACAAAAGGAAAAAATGAAACACAAGATTGTGTTACGGATAATCTCTCCAGTCTGATACTAAGTTACCTTCATAGTCTTTAAAGTCACTTGTTGGCTCATTATTCAAAGAGTCAAAGAGTGAAGTTAAGAGCACATTGCAGCCTACAGCGTCTTAATCTCCTCTCCGCAGGATAAAAGTGCCCAACTGTTTTCACTAACGTCTACCTTGCAGTCACATCTTTGCAGTGCTACCCCGTAAATTAAAAGCTTACACCTCTTAATGGCGATGGTGCAAGACACACACAGCAAGTAGGAGATTGTGTTTTGCACCTGTGGATTTTTGCCTTTGACAAACAAAACTGCAGTACAAAACTTGGGTAGAAAACTTATCTTTTCCAACAGTTTCCTTGAGGTAAATTATTTTACAAGCGGCTGTTTATTGCTGACAGTGCGACACATTCTTGAGCTGAAGTTCATTTACACAATTGATGCAATTATGCCTAATCACAATTGTTTTTGTCAAACAGGAAAAGCTTCCATTTGCTGAAGAAAAACTCTAAACTCTTAAGGGAACTGAAGAACTTGGATTCAAGGCAGTGGTAAATGTGACTCTGATATTTTATATCATGTTGGTCCTGTAGAAACGAGGTTTGTCTGTGATATTTGTGAGCACAGTTGTCTGTCATTTAGTGCCCTTTTGCTAATCCTTAAAGTGCCACTGCAGCCCACAGACAAACTTGTTTCTAAACCAGTGAAATTTATTCTGGCTATAAGTCATGCAGTTTCCAGAATAGCTTCATATTGCTCCCTCCTCCCCCATGATTTTCCTAATCTGTGCCAACCCCTGGTGATCACAGCCCTGGAAGTCTCCCACTATCACTCTGGTTGTCCTTCTCTAACTGTCTCTCTCTTAGCCCAATCAATAAGTACTCCACACATTGCTAATGACAGGAGCTTATTAAAGAATGCCCTCAGGATTGAACCTTATTCTCCCAGATGGCCAGACTTGGTTGAGCAATAACAACCTGTGCGCAAGCATGCAGAGTGCCCTAAATCTACCCCGGCACAATGTACTGCCATGGCAACAGGGAAAGTAGAGAGGAGGACTTTGCTTCCATTCTTTTTAAAATCATGTTAAAGCCGGAGAGATAGTGGACAAATTTTGCTGGGAACCATGTTTTTATCTCATTCTGCTATTCTGATTTTATGCAACAACTCAATTGCACTTAGAGGCACAGTTTACCTTGATTAGCAAGGTGTAACTGTTTGAGTCATTGCATTCACATATTAAAGCATTTTCATCTGAAGTGGCTGAAGCTTTTCAAGTTCTACTATATTTGTAAAATTTGCCGCCGTGTTGTTCTTTTAATGGTGGCTGCTCTGTTTTGTTCTGTAGTCGAGAGACACACAAGATTGCTGTGTTCTACATTGGAGAAGGCCAGGAAGATAAGTGCTCCATCTTGTCTAACAGCGCCGGCAGCCAGGCCTTTGAAGACTTTGTATCTGGACTGGGATGGGAGGTGCAAACAACAACACCTTTAAAACAACACACATCCATAGTTGCAGCCTAAATATGCACACACAGATGCATAGGCACACTCAGAACACACTAAATTGTACGTGTATCCTTCAGGTGGACCTCGCCACACACTGTGGCTTCATGGGGGGCCTCCAGAGGAATGGCAGCACAGGTCTAACAGCTCCTTACTATGCTACCTCCACCGTGGAAGCCATCTTCCACGTCTCCACGCGTATGCCATCTAATTCCGATGACTGCCTCACCAAAAAGGTAAAAAGTTCGCTTGTGTTTTTGATGTGTTTTAACCTTGGTTTGCGATACATTTTGGCCGTGACATATGAAATACTGATTATTATAATAAAAAATAAAAATAATGCTTTGTCCATTTGATGCAGTGAAATGGCTACACAGCCATGACTGCCCAGAGCAGTATGTTGTTGTAGCCTTCAGCTCTGTGTTAAGCTGTGATCAGGAGGTGTGACTCCAGAGTGCGGGCATTGATTAGTGACCCTGGCCAGGAAGGCCTGAGGAGTAGAGAATCGCAGGCGCGTGAGTGAAGAGAGGGCATGTGCCGCTGTGGTAATGACTATGATTCTGCTAGCCCCTGCCCCCCTCCCTGTGTGCTGTGACCAGGGCCTGGATTCAGCCATTAGCTCTCCCTGCTAGGGCAGGCGCCGGCCGGATGCCGGCAGGATCCTTTTATCCAATTCCTGCTGCCGCCACAGGAGCGATCGATTGGGTTCTGCAGTGGGATTCTGAGCAGTAGTGCAGCAGTAGCAGTTAGCACGAAGAAATGAGCCGCAAGGCCCCTGCCCGTGCTGCCAATCTTCTCATATAGTACCCTGCTGAGAAGGGAAATTCATCAGGCTCTCCTCATATCCAACCACACTTCAGCCCTCAACAGACTCCCCCCCACCCCCCTTCTCCATTTCACAAATAATCCCCTACTCATTCCAAACCCATCCTGAACCTGTGCTTAGTGGCCACAAAAATTAGTTAGACTGAGGAAAGATTTTCACTTAGCTCGGCCAGAGTGAGGCGCTGGAGGGGTGGCCCTGCTCAGAGGGGAGTGTGCAGCCACTCCACTTTCATTCATTTCACCAGGAACTTCTGTAATTGCTCATGCGCACCTTGCACAGATCTCCAAACTAGCCACAGGTCCAACAGAAATTGGCAAGCTGGCTACATGTGCAAATGCTTCAGGAAAAAAAAAATGGGGGGAAAAAGAGAGGAGAAAATGGTATGAAGGATTGGAATGAGAAACAGGCTTTGTCTGTGTCCAAGTAGGATGTTTCTCTGTCAATTTAAAAATAACACTTTTAGTCCAGCAGTCACCCACTTTACTGCCTGTAACCATAGAGGCATACTGTGGGGGAGAAACGGATGGGGTAGCTCTTGCTGAGCAGATTGCCTGTTTGAAGATGATGGAGGGGGGGGGAAGAAACAGCTAAACCAAAAAGAAAAGAGGGAAAACCATGAATTCCTCAATCCAATTGTGGGTTTTAGGGCAGTGCAGGCTGCAGCAGTAGCAGCTGGCTTCAGTAATGCGGTTATAGAAGCGACCTGCAGGGTTGGGGTCAGGCCATGTAGACTATGTGCATGTGTATGTGTGTGTGAAAAAGAGGCAGATAGACGGGTGCCTTCGCTATCACATTCACCCCCAGGCTGTACGGCTTAACTGGGCTGCTGCAGGTTGTTTTTATAAGAAGCCTCTTGTGTTCTGGGGTGCTCTGGTGTGGTGCTTCTATGTGTGTGACGCCCATTGGCTGGGTGGGAGGTCAAAGAGGGCTAATTGGACAAGAGCCTTTGACTTGAATCACATTTTATTAAAGAAGTCTCAAACATTTGGATGTGATTAACAAGGGGGTAAATAGATCGGTGCAGAAGATGATTGACTAGAGCATAAGCATCCTCATTAAACTTGTCATTCAGCTCATCCAAATGCTAATATCTTAACCCAAATTAACATCCCAGTGTTGATTGTCTACCACAAATGCATATTCAACATTTTCTCTGAAATTGTCCCAGTGACTGACCTGGTTGGTACCTGCTGATCCTTGGACAGACAGACTGAACTGGTGAGCTCCAGTAATCAGCATGCCGTGGATTTGTTTAAGATTACCGTATTACCATAATTAGGGGCTTATAATAGAATGTGCTAATTGCATTTTTGGTGGCGAGGGCATGTTTCTTAATGGCTCATTAGGCCAACAGTACATTGGCAGATGTTTTCTACCGAGTAGAGGCTCACTTTTCAGTGTCCATGATACCCCAGAAAATGGAAGGACTGCTTGATTCAACATCACTGGACTACCAGCTCATAAGTGATCTACACTTGTCAGAGAATATGATGTAGATGTGTTCGTCTTTTTTTTTTTTGCTTTGGAAAGGGAAAAGCTGTTTACCATTTTTTTAAAACTAGCATCAGTCAATTTCCTGTCATTTAAGTGTATCTTCTTGTCCTGCCCAGTTTCATTTGTGTTTGTGAATAGAGTGGAAATGGGAAGCAATTTAATCTCTGATGGGGAAGGTTAATTGGATTTGAATTATTTGGTTTTAAAATGTTCAATTTTGTCCATTTTGTGTTTTCTATTTGAATTTGTAATGAAAAACTATAAAAAGACTCAAAACAAGAGCACACACTCCATTGTTTTCATACAAACTTAGTGATTTAGCTGTAAACAGTCACCTTGCTCTTGCACCTGCTGCATGCTGTGATGAAAGCTCCTTCACTCTTTACGGAACCTCTACCGGCTCGACTCGGCAGTCAGTCTCCTTCTACATACATCAGTTCACTCCGCAGTATTCTGGAGGCCAAGTGGGCCTAAAGCGCTGACTGTATAAACTCAGTGATATGCCTTAACCCACCTAAATTTGTGTTCCAGTCAAAATCGGCAAAACAAGGAAAATTGCATGCCAGGTCCTTGATTAAACTGATTTTCTTTTGCTCATCAGCTGCGTCACCTGGGAAATGACGAGGTGCACATAGTGTGGTCCGAGCACACCAGAGACTACCGACGTGGCATCATCCCAACCGACTTTGGAGACGTGTTAATAATCATCTACCCAATGAAGAACCACATGTACTTCATCCAGATCATGAAGAAACCACAGGTAAACCACTGCAGCTAGTGTTAAGACTATAAACCTTTTTCACAGGAGACCTTTTGACTTGTGCCAGCAGAGAAATTAGAGTTGAATTAATGATGGCTGCACTCCAATACGGGAAGGTCCTGCTTTCATGCATGCCGACTTACTGTCATGGGTTACTTTCAGACATGCACTCCTTTCTATTAATGTAAAACCATCCGGGCGTCTTGGTTTTATGTCTGAACGAGCCCCTGCTTTTCAAGAACAGTTGCAACGGCAATCTTACCAGGTCGGATCTGGTAACATTTCTGTATCACTTTCAGCACATCACAAGTCTGAGCTGCATGCTGTCACATTAAGTGAAAAGGCACACACAAGAGACAGACTTCAAGTTGTGTGAAGCGATTTGGGCTTTTTCCACTTTTCAGCACCAATATTGGTCCAAAAACATCGCAGAGAGTGCAGATAACAGATTGCGTGCTGAAATCACACCTTTCTCATTCACTTTGCTCTACAATTTCACTTCAATCACCAGCTGAAATGTCCATAAAGAATACAACTTCACTACAAACAAGACCAACTTGAAGAGGCCGTATTAACGAGACTCACCAACACTGAATGCAGTTTGGGTTTTGACAAAATGCCAACAGGAGCTTAGTTTAGTTTGTTTCTTCCAGCTGTTGCTAGAAATCGTTCCTCTGAGTTTATTAAATAGCTGCTTCATCAAACAACTGCAGGATCCATATGAGCGTCCCCAAAGAGAGAGAGCTGCCTCACATTTATGTACAGTGGTAACGTCATTATTTACTTATAATTAGAGATTATAAATTGTCACTGACGCAGAGATAAGTGACACTGTGTGTTTTTCCTCACATCAGTCATTGAGCTGTGGCTCTAGTGACTATGTCTGAATAAAGCCACAAGGAGCGTTACCATAAATGTGACCTGTGTGTCTGAATGCCGTCACTTCAGCAAACTGATGAAGCAGCACTGTTGGACATTGTTTAACAATGTTAGAAGGGGGCTTTAATGAAAGTGAGCCATCTTTAACTCCACCTATGATTTCCCCACAGTGGCAAATCAAAATATCTGTAGTGACATATGCATGCATACACCTTGTCTAGTCTCAGCTTAGGAGTTAATGCATTTCTTTTTCCTTGCTTCCTATTCAGACTTTGCTATGAATTTCCTAGTTTTTGTTTTTTTTTCCATGTCGCAGTGTCTGTCTGAAGGCTCTCAGTTTCCCCTGCTCCAGCAGTGCATTATTACCCACACTGTGGGTATGTGCTCTCAGAGATGGTTACTGTCCTTTGTTGGCTAGCTTTCATCTTGGTTACTCCATAGTACTGCACTCCATGTGTGGCCTCCCTGAGGACAGTGAAATTTCTTTGTCCAAGAGGACTGGCTTTAGATGTTCAGATGTATCCACAGTGCTGTCCACATGAACATTATTAAAATAATTCCATAACATAGTTTGTTCTGTGTTGCTCACTGTTAAGGCACTGGTTGTCTTTACCTTTGTCTTTCCAATTTTTTTCAAGGAATGACTGAGAAATAGAGAATATAACGCACAAAGAAATGATAGCTTAAATTTATTAGGCTGATATATCAACAAACTCAGAGGACCTATCACCTTTCTGAGGACACTTCTTACCTTTTTATAGCAATAATTTGTTCACCCACCTCCAATAATATTGTGTTCTGATGATTCTGGACCGACTGACAATTTAGAATGATGCATTTCTGTGGTAGGCTGCATTTGTTTGATAGGCGTTGATTCTGTTTGTGTATTTTCTCTTCATGTATTTATCAGTTATTAACAACTTTACATACAATCGTTTCTGCACGTTTATATGATCATGGTACTATTTTTGTCGTCTCTGTTTGGATGAGAATTAGCACAATCAAAGTAATATGTTTAAACTAATGCTAATAAAAAACATGGCAGTGTGTTTATTCTTTAATTTCAGTATTTTTCTCAAAGAAGTGTAACAGCTTGCCTGATAATTCACAAACACAAGTATTAAATTGTAAACCACAGTGGTTGAAGATGGTTAGTAAGATAAAATTATACAGGCCATGGATAAAGCAGGTGTTAAGTGCTGCTACTGTAGTGCCTCCCACTCTAGGCAAGCTAGTATTTTTTAGTAATTTCCAAAACTACCTCCACCTCAAAGAACCTGTAAAATCATCTACTAACCTTTTTCATGTCCGTTTGGTTAACATCACCACAGTTCTCTAGCATGTGATCAAGTTAATTGGTATGTATCATTTCTTTTTAAAATGTATTATTGTTTAATTTGACTGGTCATTATACTCAGTGAACTGCCAAGTTGAAGACAGCAGGACCTTTTGGAGCGACTTTGACATTCACGTCAACTTCCAGGTCAATGACTATTGAGCTTCAGTGATTAAGGGCCCCCGTCCAATATGCATGAACAGACGCGTGTACCCACACACACTCAGGCTGTTGCTAAAATTCATATTGCCCCTTTGTATTTGTTCAGTAGCTCAATATGAGGGCATTGTTTAGTATTGATTGTCATTTTAATTTCATTTACCTAACATTGATTCACATTAGATATGTGTGGTTGTCATGCAAAGTTAGGTGAAATCCAATTTTAACTTGAACCCTTGCCCTAAACAGATGGAGGAACCGTTCACAAAAAAAATAATAACAAAAAAGATTTAAATGAACACTCTCTTATTTTTAGGCACTTATATCTATAATGATGGCATCCTGGTCAGATTAATCTTGCATCAGTGTGTTTTATTGCCAGATTTTCTAATTATTTCTTTTTTTCCTATTAACTTCCTCAGGTTCCTTTCTTTGGGCCTCTGTTTAATGGCGCCATCGTCACAGGGACACTGCTGCCAAGCTTAGTACGGGCCACCTGTATCAACGCCAGCAGAGCTGTCAAGTCCCGGCTGACTCTCTACCAGAGCTTGTATCCTTTAGCCCTCGAGCCTTCTGCTTCATTTACTCTTCACTGTTCTATACAGGGAAAGCTCATCAGAGGAATGCAACAATTAAAAAAGATCAACCACTCAAACAGCTGAGACCATTAAGGTTATGAGCATACATTTAGCAGTATTTTTGTGATTATTCCATTAGGTGTAAAACATCACTGAGCTTAAATTTTCAGCACCCCGTTCGGGTAAATTCATTGAGACATGTGGCGTGCTTGTCACGTTAGCCAGTGTGCACAGCTGAGTGCTGACACTGATCTTTATGGGCTACCTGATTTACATACAACTATTAGGCCCGGGCTGTTTCACAGCCTGGAGCAACATGGGAGGTTGTGGGGCTGTTTTGGGTAGGAGCGCAGATAATGTGTCATCATCTATCACTGCTGTTTTATGGAGGACAAGGAGAGCCAAAATAAAAGCACTATCAACAAATGCATACAAGTGCATACAGACACAAGCACACACACGCACTTGCTCTCATCCCTCCACCCATCCATCCAACAGTGTGCCGTTAAGAGCCTGACTCCAGCTGTAGTTGTCAGTTGGTTTAAAGAGAGTGTAATTACCAATGGAGATGAATTAGCATGTGAATGCCAGCAGCACAGAGTTGGGGGGTGAGATGGGGGGCAGAGTTGGGATGGCCCCTGGAGGGGGAAACCTGATCTCCCTAACGCCCCGCTCCTCCTCGGACAGCATGTACAGCACCGCCTCACCAGAACCACGCTGCCCCTCTGGCGGTTGCTATAGAAACCTCCCCCAAGGAGGTTTCATTTGGGTGGAAGACCAGAATCTATTGTTTTTAAGACACTGGCATATTTCAAAAACTTGTTGTCTTTAAAGTATTATCCATGTATCATAGTCATTTACAACAAAGGCTTCGGGTCTTTAATTACTCTGCAACACACACCGCATGGGGTGTGTGTAAGTATGTGTCTGTATGCGTTTTCGCAGTGCATCACATCGCCTGGCCCCCCACCCCAATATCAGGCCTTGTCTGTGTGTCCCTGGGGGCATCCTGAGTGACAGATGTCTGTTACCCGACGCCAAGTGAATTAGCCCAGTGTGACTCTCAGTGCCAGAGGGGGGCCAGCCACAGGCCTGCCTGCCTCTGTGAGCCTCAGGGAGTGGGGGAGTCGAGGGGGGGAGTAACAGGCCTATGCTGGGCCACAAAAGCCTCACCTGGCATTCCTTAGCAGAGGAGCAGTCAGCACAAAGGCATGATCTATGAGAGGAGATAAGCGCTGCCTCTGGAGTTCTGGCACTGATAGGTTGCCAGGCCTCACGCACTCCAAGAGAGAAGATGAATGAATGTGCCAGGCAAAGCTCACTGCCAAAATGAATATCTGCATGTCTGTCTGCTGTTTGTCTGTCGAGCTAGAGAGCTTGCGAGGACAGAGGCAATGTATAAACTTAGCAATAAGCGTTTAGAGTTACATGAAAGTGTTAACTCAGGTTTTTATATTTCAAGGGAATTGATCTCGCTGACTGTCCTGAGTGACACAATGTCCAGCGGTGGCATGAACCACAGACAAAACAATATGTTGAGTGCCAGGTGGAGTTCCTCTTTTAGATGCTTTGATCATTGAATTTGCTGTTGTATTACTTCAGCCTTTTGCACTTTTCCCTCTTCAGCCATTTCGATTCTTCCATCTTCTCAGGATATGCAGCGCTTTATCTTTCACAGGTTGGAACAATCACCCAGCCTCTTTTTTTTTCAGGTGTGTTTTTTTGTGCCGAGATGAAAATCCTCATCCTTAGTTTACCCCTTCACAATGCCTTAACAATCCACAGCCTGCTCTCTGCCTGTGAGGCCACTCTCCAAGGTAATTAGTTGAATATTTCTTCAAAGAGAAGCTATATGACCCCTGTGTGTCCAGATAAAAGGCCAGTATGGCTCTGCAGCCCCCTCTCTCGCTCCGTCACAAGGCTCGAGAGGACTCCAGCAGTCTGCTGCAACGCTCGCAGGATCTCTCAAGCTAATAGGATTTGATATTGAAAAATGACCACCAGCAACATTTTCAGAAAATACACACAGATAGGCTGCAAAAGTGTTTTTCAGATGGATACCACCCCTTGCTATCTTCCTCCCATCACATCCTGTGACTCTCCCTCTCTCCTCTTCCTCTGTCTTTGATTTGTAAAATCTGCGCAGTTGCATCTGCCTTCTTGTCTTGTGTACAGCTTTCAATGTCAGTTAGAATTTGTCTCTATTTTCTCTGTCAGGACACAACCCTGGCCACATAGGCATCATATCACAAGCCTCTCGCAGACAACTCATAATGTATCATTTATTATTTATATGCCTGATAGAAAATGCAGCTGGTCTGGCTTTGTGTTCTAAGTGTATTGTCTGCAACTTGTCTGCCCTTCACAGCTGCATAGTGAATACTTATGACCACAAAACGTTCAATCTAAAGCAACTTAGGTTTTTATTAAACCGCGATTGTTTTTATTGATTTACGAGCAACATAGTTGCATAAGTGAATACAATTTTGTGCCTCTGTTTGTGGCGCGTATCACTCTACACACAAAGCGTTTGACGTTGGCTTGAAAGAGATGGCAAGTTTGTTTGTGTCACCTGAACCCACCCTGTACCTGGGTGGCTCTTCTGTCTGGTGCCATTTGCCGTAAGATGAAGATCCTTCATACTGTCACTATAGAATAATGTCTTCATCCAAAAGGTGGGATTCATTTCTCTCTTCAACAAGCACTTGAGTTTGATGTGCCATCCATCACTCTTTGTGATGGGGGTATTGTTAAAGGTAAAAACTGTCTGCGTGCGTGTGTGTGTTGGAGAGATGGCAAGTTACTAATAGGTGAGACAATGCGAAACTGACCTTGATTCAGAGACATAGCCTCCCTACTGGACAGAATCAATAGCTTTTGCACACTGCCCTTAGTCCCCATCCTCTGCTCTGACACACAAGTAAACACACACACACACATACACACACGCACAGATCCATCTCCAGGCAGCGATCAATAACCATAATCTGTTTCTGCCCATCGCCAGTCATGCGAGCCAGGCTTTTAGGTGGCGTGTGTGTGTGTGTGTATGTGTGTGTGTGTGTTTGTGTCTGTGTGCAGTAGCAGAAAGAAGAGAGGGAGGCTTGATCCTTTCAGTGGAACCCAGAAAGCTGCTGAAGTCTGTCATGTTCCCTCACAGGCTCATGTGAGCATATCTGCAGTCCCCCAGCTCCCAGTGGCCAAAGCGAGATGTACATAATTTCAAAGGATGTATACTGAAAACATAATGGATATGATATCCTGTATGCGCCTCTTTGTGTGCTGTTGCTGCATCTCCAGACACCATCATAATTATTACAGTCACTGCATTGACAATGACATATTCTCACACCCCTTCTGAGCAAGTCATTGTCCCACTCTCACCATGTCTTTGTCTGACAGCAGCGTCTTCTTTTGTATACTGTAAGATTCTTCACCTAGCGGAGATGAAAGTGCGCCTGTATGCATGATAGGGTGTCATGAATAGGATCTGCCATGTTAGTGTTGTCTCACATGAATTATTTAGCATCGTTGATAGGTCTAATTTGCCAGCTGTTGTGCCATAACTGTCGGCAGTCTCATAGATAATACTCAGCAGTCTATATCACTATGGAACACAGTGCTTGGCTGGGCACAGTGAGACGCCAAGCTAGTCATTATATGCTGGGTTCATGTAATGGTCTGAGCTGATGTGAGCGTAACTAGCCAACTTCCTGTTCATTGGTAGCAGGGCTGACTGACTTAAAGTAATTTGCAATGTACGGTGAAATTAGTAGAAGGAGTCAGCCACCTTGACTTGTTGCGTGATTTATAAAATTTCTAGAAATGTATTCTATTACTGCATGCAGACCATTTAGTTGGAGGCAGTTGGCAGTTGTTGGGTGAGTAGGTAGTTGGGGGGTGGGTTAGGGGCCAGTTCTGAGTTGAAGTGTCCCTGCTTGGAGTTGGCAGGAGTAGTTTGGGCAGAGGCTGGCATTGGCTTTGATCGGGTAGTTGAGAGTTTACGCAGTATTTGGGGGGCTACAGAGAGAGGAGGGGTCTCTCCCCCACTGAATGTTTTAACCTAATCCCATTATCAGTGTAGCGCACTGCCTCCCATCTCTTTCCCCCCTCCTTGTCCCTGCCCCCTCCCACCCCTCTCTCCAGCTGACCAGCTGTTCCTGCCGGGACTCACGACAATGTCCGATGTGTTCAGATCACTGAGTACCCCCCCTCCAATACACACACACAAATGAACAGAGCGCAGTCCATGCACAAGCAAAGCAATTGCCAAGCCCATTGCTGGAGCCGAGGAAGGCCTAGAGGGAGGAGGGTGTTAGTTAGGCAAGAGGGGGGGTAGCTTTGGGGGTGTGGAGGGGGCAAGCACAGGCCTGTCAAACCAAGAGCCCTGACTCAGGAGGCAACCCAGCTCGGATGGCATATGGCGTCTAGCTTCATACAACATGCAAAAGTATTCTCTCCCTTCGCCCCCTCTCATCTACTCCCCCCCTCTCCCTGTCTCCCTCTCCTGCTGCTAATGCAGAATGACTCATAGCATTACTCATTTTTTTTCCCCCCTCCACCACACCCCCCCCATATTAGTTCCTCCTCCTCTTGCCACCCAGCCTGTAACAAAAGGCGTACACTGCATGGCACCCACACCCTGAAAGCCCTGGGGGCCCAGCCCAGCCCAGCCTGCACTCTGGGGTCTGAGCTTCATGGGGGCCGCCCCTTTTAAACACAGGTAGAGCAGGCATGGAACCAGACGGCCAACAGCAGGGACCCAGAGCCCCGCCTGGGGTAGCGTACACACACTGCTGGTGTCAAACTGTTGTGCCTGTTGGTATATTTCAGTTTTTGTTTGTATATATACTGAGCTGTGTTTATTTGTTGTGCCTCTGGTATTCTAAACCCGCCGTGCTACGCGTGCGCCGATGTGCTTTATCATTCATGTCCGGTATTTGTATTGCTGCAACCTCCCTGACAAGGAAGG